TTTGATCGTAAAACATGCAAACAATTTTTGATCATCACCAAGTTTATTGACACAAAACAGTTCTTTTAAAAATTAAATTATAATCACTTACCTAATTTTTAATCACATCAATAGTTTATTCAAGCAACTCACCTGCCTTGGTGCTTCCATGTGGTATGTTGAAAACCAATCTGTCCAACTTTTTCTTGTCTATATTACTGATCGATTTCCTGGGATTCATTTTGCTCTCTTTGTTTAGCAAACTTTCATTTAGTGATTGATCATAATCAATAATAATATTGTCCTTATAGTATGTGAACCACTCCACTTGTTCCCTACACAATTTAAAAGACAATAAAAAAGATATTGACTAAAAACATGTACTATTTAGGTACTAAAATTTCATCAAGGGATCTATAAAAGAAAGAAAGAAAATATTGAAGCTTTTTAATTATCATATTATGGGAAGCTTCATATTAGTTCAATATTGAAACCCTAATTTTATTCAGTGAAGAAACTCAGTTACAACTTTTATGCGTTTTTTATCCTTCCGTAACCAGCTGCTGCAGCTTTTATCATTTTCTGGTCAAATCCAACGTGCTACCTGTCACTCTCTTCAACTTACACCTTAGGTAGGGCTAGCCACATTGCAATCAGCTGCCGCTGATGTGGTTTTTTTTTACGAAACTATTACATCTTTTGCCTTAAATATCGTGTCCTGGTTCTCAGTAAGTCAGCTAAAACTTAAAACTTCGTACGTATGTACATCAGTTCAAGTCGCCATACCACATCAGCACAGAGATGCAATTGTCGATTCAAATCTCATAGCGGTAGATTTAGTCGAAATATGAGGAGTAATCGGAAAGATTATGGTCCGAAGGCATTAAAGAAGTTTAGTCCAGTGAAATAAATATGAGAAAAGAAAGGTGAAAGTCGCTGACCCCAGCCTGAAAGTCTACACTTACTAACATGGCTCAGTCCAGTTGTCAGTGACTTCATGGATTTATGTCATGTTTTGGTTTGGCCGCCCCTGGCTTTCTTCCAACCTATATCTACACCAGACGTCGAACGCCGAGGAAGTCGGTAGTCGGGCATACATGTCCAAACCACTACTCTTTAATCGATTTTCCGACTTTACCTGGTACTCTTTTCCTAATGACAGCACTGCTTCGAAGTCTCCTATAATCGAATACTAGTAGCTCATAAATATCCTCTATTATTAGTGGCCATGTTTCACACCCATAAAGGAGAACGGAACAAATTGCTGTGCGGTAGACTCGTCATTTGATTAGCAAACCGATATCTCACCTACGCCATAAATGATACAGGTTGATGAAAGCCAGTCGGATTTTGTATATTCGTGCGGAGCTTTCGTCATACATCATGACTGATGAGACTCCCCGGATAAGTGAGGTGTTTAACAGGCTCGACTACTTCACGCATTATCGCTAGTTTAAATGCTGACGCAAGCCTATCCTGGGGAAACATTTTGCATTTTGACGAGCGGGATTGCATCCCGAACATACTTGCATGGTTGCTTTAGGTGGTCAAAAGACTGCATTTTGTCAACGTATTCAAATAGGACTGTCATCGGCATATTCTAAATCGACAAGCGAATCTCCCGTTATTAGTTCAACTCCTGAAAAGTCATGTCGAAAGTGTTGTCTCTAAAAGCATGTCAGTGACGAAGTTGAATACGAATAGAGAAAGTGAACAGCCTTAACGAATACCTCTTGAAGTAGTCAATTCTGATGAAAGTTCATCATAAGCTTTAACTCGATCAGTACTGTTTGAGTAGAGAGCTTGTATAAGGTTAATGAGATATTTTGGTACACCTCTCAATGACACACTGCCATAGATCCTCAAGATCGATAGTCGAATGCTGCTTTGAGATCCAGGAATACAACTATTATCAGACTTCTGAATGTGTGTCTATTTTATAGGACCTGTCGAAGTGTGGACATATGGTCTAGACAGCCATGTCCAGGTCTGAAACCAGGCCGACGCTCTCGATTTTGCTCTTTACGAGCATTAATTACGCGTCAAAGTATTATTGAAGCCAATATCTTAGACACAATATTAGTTAAACTGATTCCTCTGTGACTGTCACAACGGGACTTTTGTCTTTTCTTATAGACTGGAACAATCAATGATCGAGATTACGCCCAGTTCCCATATTCTACCTAAGATCTCAGTCATTTTAACTGATTAAACTGGACTACCATCCTTAAAAATCCCAGTGGTTAGCCAATAAGGGCCTGCTGCTCTCCATCGATTTGGATTTCTTATAGCTTTTTCGACCAGACTGCATTTCTAATCGTCGCTGAAATATATACATTGCTTTTCTATTAAGTAGAACCCCAAGAGGTTTCATTACAGTGTCTTTCTTAAGTTTAGTAAGCTGAAAACGAACACGTGCTCGCAGTAGAGCATGGTCTGAATCTAAGCATTTGCTTTGCAATCAGTTACAGTCTTCTATCGAGCCTCTCCTTCGGTGGCTGATAGCAATGTGATCTAGTTGGGTCCATCGTTGGGTCGACTTTGGGGTTCGCCATATCGAAAGATGTTTTTCTTTATGCTTAAAGATAGTACATGCAAGAAATAGGCGATTATCTGAGTTTTGTTGTGGCACACTGTCACCATTATCTGTTCTTTGGATCTCCACACCATAAGAGCGTAGGTAGAGACATTGAAGAAACAATGTCAAGTAACCCTATTTTTCCGAGTCCTTACTGTCCCGTTTAGTCGGACAGTACAGCTACATCAGCCAGGCCACAGAAGGCAGCATCAGCTCTTCCAAGTGCACAAAGCGCAAATCGAGATGGTTCTTTATTTTGATATGGTGGGTTCAAACGAATGACTCTTCTAGGATCCTGTATGGGCGGTACGGAGACGCAGCTTACAACGATGGCACGAGATTCCGAAGTCTTAGCTAGGAAAGTTTGTTGTCCTATTTGTAACAAGGTTCAAACATAGAAAGCTCCAACATCTAATTTAGAGCGTGGTTTCAGGATACCGGGGAATAACGTTTTGTGTACTCAAATCATTTTTGTCAGCAGTGCCAGTTGATAAAGGATTGTGGGAAGGTATGGTCATAGAGGTAAGAGGGTCACCAAGAGGTGTAGGAAGGATTTGATTGTGGCTTATTCGGTCTCGTGCGTTGTTACGGTATGAGAGCGCATGTCACTTCCCGGCTTCTCGCACCGTGGGTCTTTCTTGAGGAACCTTAAAAAGGAAGCTAGATTAGTGTTGGCCTTAGAGACCTGGGTGCGTGACCGCAGAACCCAAGGGACAACTGTACGAGGCTGGTTGTGCTTGGCCTTTTCACGCGGAGTCTTCGAGGTGCTAGCTCCGCTCTTCAAATGGCCTTACCATCGAAGACGGAAATACGTGTGTCAAGGTGAGGCGTGACATTTTTAGGGTCGACCTTTTCTAACCCCTTCCCTCGTGAAAAGGCAGCATCGCTGCAGATGCTGGTTATCCGAGGGAAACACCCTACTGCCGTCGCACCACCCCACAGTAAGCAATGCGACTTCGACCTTAGACCTACCGTTACTGCTTTTAGTCTTAGCGTTTTCCAATCGAATCTCCTGCTACGTTAGGACTTTAAGGAACATATATTGCAGCCAGTATAGCTCGGTTGGGTCATCACAATAGGCAAACCAGACCACCACGTCAAGGTAGGTAGTAGTTACAATCGGGTGTTCTGGTGGTCATCAAACTTTTTGTCTTAAACAGATCAATACAGTTAAGTTGGTTCCACCTGTCGTAACCAAATGCCGGATTGAGTTAGGTTTAAGTTTTACTATCAGTCAATCGTGTAATACAGATGAGTAAAGCGTACTTTTGAATGATGTCGTAAAAGTAATGCGTAAATTCAAGTGCTGCTTACAGTTGTTAGTTTTGGTGGTGTTTAGTTGTCTGAGCTGGGTCTTTGGATGCAATCAAAATGAAGAAGCAAACAACGACAGGATTAAGGTCAGCAGCAACCAGTCAAGATCGAGCTTAACAGAACAGGCTACGGGTCAAACGTGGAGAAATTCGAATACTTCACTTCTATCTGAAGTTTGTGCTGATGATGTTATTCAGAAGAACGATGAAAGCTCCACAACCAAAACATCCAGCCCAGAGAACGAGACACCACCACGATCATCCATCTGAGCTACAAGTTTTCTCTATCATCTTGTAGTTGTTGGGTTTCTACGTAATCCCTGCAACTCTTTGGGGCATGCACATCTACTCTGCCGATCGATGAGGTTAGTGGCAAATGTATATTACCGTATAGGAAAACTCGTAGTTTTCGTAAGGTTCGATAATATGATAGCAACACCAGACAGTGTCTTCAACGATGAGCGCAACTTTTCAACGAATAGTTCAACTGGTTCGTTGGTCGAGCAACTTTAATCAGACTCATGTACTGTTTGGTAAGGTGACTATTTGATCTACTTAACGAAGCGGAGGTCCTTAAAGAACTTCAACTTCTGGAGACTTACAAGTCGACAGGCTCAGATTACCCTTGGTCAGCGAACTGGCTGTTGTTTAGAAAAGTCTGCGATAAAGTTTGATAACATCTATCTGGGCACTATGACGATAATTCAGTTGGCGTCACCAATTTGAGACACAAACTTCAGCTGCTCGGATATATATCGTGCGCTAATTGCCGGCGATGGGATGTGATGTGATAATCTCGAAGATGTGATCAATTTATATTGCGGCACCGTCGAATGAAAGAAAGATGCTTAAAACTTATCAGACAGTTCGTCAAAATTCTCTGATATCAGTAAATAATCAGGTGAAAAATTTTAAGTCGGAAAGCTATCGATAGATTGGAATTAATCGTAATCACAATGATAACGATTTCCGATGTTTTTATCACGTAAGGATCGAATTATCGGAAGCTCAATTTTAAGCGATAATGATCGGTTTAGTTATTATTGTTGATGTACGACAGAATGAATTTAGGTCAGTAATAAAAGTAACATCTCAAAATCACAACCAAATGCACTGCTTATATATATATATTACATTTTTGCCAGTGTTTCCATTTGAGCAATAATCGTTTGCCATTTCTCCAACAATTCATTTTGTTCAATTTGTGCCTGCAATAGATTGAACTGAGAGAAAATAAAACAGATAAATTACTTTTTTCTAGAAAAAGTATTAGCTGTAATAATTCTTGATGGCTTACCGAACATCGAGAGCTAAACAAATGGATATGATCTTGTCAATTCAACACTACGACTCCACTAATGATTTACTTGTAGTTTGTTTTGTAATTTTATACGATTTTGTTAATAAATTTAACTTATACCGTATGTGTTTTCTTTACTTCGTTAAATAAATGGCTTAATATTATTATTCCCTTCATAGTTATATGAATCCTTATTCTTCTAAATTGCCACGTTCATTGTATCGTACTATGTATGATTATCTATGTGGAACATTCGAAGCATTGCTGAATGACATGACTATAAGAATTTCATTAAAATGATTCATGATAAATGTAGGAAAACTTCATGTGTCTTCAACTTTAATATATATATATATATATATATATATATATATATATATATATATAGTTGAAGTTATTATGGCTTTCGTAATTTCACTAAAGGTATATGATACTTTTCCTCACCTGTGAACGTTGTATCCATTCATCTTGGCATACATTTCTCAGTCTCATACGTCTGATTTTCTGTGAGTAATAATCTGTCAGTAAACTGAGTAAGTGATTCATTTCCTGAAAGAAAAGTTATAGTCCTTTCAGCTCCGAATCTATATTTTATTTAAATTATAAAATTTAAACCAGTGTCTGTCAATTATGGCTCCCATGTAATCCGAAACCTAATTTTAGAGTTTTATGATGAGAAAGATATCAGGTAGCTAATCTATATAAATCAAACAAATTATTTCCAAAGCATGACACTATTGCCATATGATTGATGAGACATCGTTTACGATTATTTGTCGAGGTGATTAATTAGAGATTTTAGCAGACTGAAATTTCAATATAATTAAGGGGACGTTGCCGCCAAAAACGTTAGCTAATTTTGTTATATCTGTTCTCGAAACATCTAATTTTTCTAATAAAATTCATAAGTATCTCAATATTCCAACAAAGCCAGTAATTGAAATCATGAACTGAGCAACGCTACACCACCATTAGAAACCTGGAATCACTGGAAGGCTGTTCCGTCCTAGTGTGGGGTTCGTCAGCAGTGCTCACCCATGATCCTTGCCCATGTGAATCGAACCCAGGACCTTCAGCCTCGCGCTCGAAGACCCTCACTTTCCTAAGTGATCCTGTAATTGTTTTGAGTAGAATCAAATGGTGCTGAAAGCAGTTGCCAGACGATGAGGCATCTAAATTCTACCGTCTTATCAGCTATTAATCATCGATTTCTATATATAAGCTAAAAAATTTTGCATTTAATATATTTTATAGCATTTTCACTTACTGATGATTTTATCTTATCTAAACTTGTTGCATTCAAACTATCATTTAATTTTATCATATCTGTTGTTTCACAAGATTGACATGATTTAATAAGCACTTGATCACGATGATTTAACCATGTGCATACATCATTTAAACATGGTTTCATTAAACTGACTTGACTGACATGAAGTCGTTCTAAAATTACATTGACCAGTTGTAAAAATATTGGTCGCCGATTAAATTTCATTACTGTGGAAATTAATGAACAATATATACAGAATAATCAGCTTGATAATCTTTAAAAGAATGCAATCATTTGTGAAAAATATTGATCTTTATAAATTCGACAATTTATCCTTCAACTTTATTAAGGAACCTAAGATGTTTAAATCTTATCTTATTCTGGAGTATCCGGAATTTAGATAACATCGTTACTATCCAATGTCTATTTATTTTCAAATTCTTCCTTTAATTTGTATTTCAGTCATTCAAGACTGTAAAACTGCTGACATAGGGAAGTTTACTAAATATCAGTGATTAACTTGTTAAAAGATTACTTTTAAACGTGCTCTAACAGCACACCTAGTTGGATACCAGATAAATGACTATATAGCTCCTGTGATAGCTAAAAGCTCCAGACCTCTTAGTCACAACCTACTAAACCGTGTCAGATTGTAGCTAAAACAGATCTGTACATTACAGATTTTGCTGCTCCAGCTGCATTTAGTATATAGAGATCATGAAAGAAATTCACATAAACTATTATCGTATTACATTTTTTATCACTAAGCTTACAATCGTTAATTGGTTACGTTTACAGTTTTTCCTTCGATGTAAATATATTTATATATATATCGTATACTAACAATCAATATAGGTGGCCAATCGTATTAAACAATTGGGAATCGGGAAAACATGTAGGGGTTATTAGTAGTTGTAAAAGTTTCTTGTTTACTAAACGTTATGAATTCACAGCTACGTGATTGCTAACAGTATAATGAGAAATTAGATAATTTCCATGTTCAACTATTTGATTGAAGGTTCACTTAACAAATATTCGTTTAACTCAGTATGTTCTGGTAAATAAGTTCATCCACACTTTCAGCATATGATGCGATAGTTTGTAAAATTGTATGTTTGATAAATGAAACAGCAAAATTAATTGGAAAAATACACAAAGAAGACCAACTAGACATAATATCTATTCAAGGTAACTTGGCTCTAAGACTTCATTTAAAAAAAGTACTAATGCGTCTTAATTCATGCTTTATTATTCTTCTTTAATTGTTCTAGGAAGAAAATTTCAATCAACAAATTTTAAGTGCCTTAAACACTTTGGATTTTCTGTGTCTAATACGTTACACTTATCTTCATTATTATAATCGTCATTACTATTCGTCTATATCCTTTGAATACATAAGTATTTTTGTTTTACATTTTTTTACACAAAACTAAAATGAAAGATAACTTGATTGTGTACATAAATTGGTTAATAACATTTATCTGTGGGATAAATTATCTCCCATTTTTTTCAGTACCTGCATTGTTAACAATCCTCATGTTGACTTGTTAATCAATTGATTTCTGGATATCATTATCATAAATATATCAAATATGCATGAAGAAAGATTAGATCAGTCAAACTATTTATCACTTTGACCATAAAATATGTATCATGATTCAAGACATTTAAATTGATTAGAAACTAAAGCTTTAGCATTTCGAATGTTCTACAGAAGGTTATAATAACACAGTGCATTTCACCGCTTTCATATATGTTTTGAAAAAAGGAAACAAACTAATAACAGCAACAACAATCGTTATGATGGAATTTTATATTTCAACTGATTGTGAAGACAATATCGTAATTCATTGCTATGAATTAATGGATATACTAAACTGGATAGGAATCTTTGATTGCTGTATATAACTTGTGATATGAATATTAAAACACTGTATTGATCAAATTTTCATGTTTCAAACGACCTGTAGATCAGGCTGTAAGTCTGAAATCTTATTCAGGCTGTTTAAATATATGTACAGATCTTTTATAGTAAGCAGAAAATAATAGATTTTGACAATAATCTTAATATCATAATAACTAACCATATGTAACACAACTATTTATACTTCTACTTTGTGAAATAAATTAAGTTAGCTCCCAGTTACTCTAATAAAATCAACAGAAATCTTGAACTCACCATCTTTAATTGCTGTTTTTATTGGCTTGGTTGCCATATATGCAATCGCTTGATATTGGTCTTCGTAACCGAATAATTCTCCTTTTGGAGGATCTAAGTTACAGAAAAATAAAGCTTTTAGGTTATAAATACACATAAAGTTAACCAACAAATCATAATTCTATTAGTCATTCATTTGAATAATCTATACTGTACAACTGTATTTTACTTATTAAAAATTATTCATTAAAAGTGTTGCACTAATAAGTAAATGGTTCACTAGTCTCAGTAATGGAAACCTGCAGAGATTGTTGAATTTTATAGTTTGTACGTCTGATCTTAGACAACTGTTAATAACAATGAATCCTTGCTGAGCTTTTGAATGTACATTGATGAGGAGTCCCATTTTAAGAAGAAACAAATGTTCAGAAACCTCTGGTTTTCACCAGTTGTCCAAAAAAGACTAGTCTGTGAAGTAAACCGTAAAACTTGTTACTCTTTTCAAAGATACTTGATGGTAGACATTTTTTACGTCCTCCTATTATCGTCAAAGAAGTATAATTGTGAGTTATTCGGAATAAACTAAATAGAAGGAAAAAATTCTGACTCTTAGTAACACGATATTTATGGGTCTTCTAAAAACGTAGTTCTTTTCGTTGACAGATCACTCAGTTTCTAGTGTTTCGGTCAGTGAAGATGATTTAATTCAAAAGAAAAATCTTAGCATTAAATATATATACATATCGTGCTGAAGTCATTGTATTTGCTCTCACTCAAAAAAAGAAACTAAAAACCAATATTTTTACTCACTTAATTTAGCTGTAACCAAATGATGGTAAGCATCGATTACTTTGATGGCAGAGTTTAATTTATCCACTTGATCGGTGTTCTGTATTGATTTTTTTCGTCCTATTAAATAACTTGAATTGAGTTTCCCCTGAGAAACTCGTTTTTTTACTGACTGATTAAAGTTTGGTTTTATATCTATATGAATGAAAAATAAATTTAAGCCATTGTGTAAACCAGGTCATCAAATTTCAAACAAACAAACACAAATTACAGATTACTGTTGACGAGCCATTTGACGTAAATTGAAATGTTGAACGCCGTTTGTTATTAAAATATATATGGATCCTAAAATAAAACTTTTGAGTATGCTGTTTTAAACAATCGACTCCAAATTTATGTAATTGTTGCAGATATAACTGACTCCCTTACTGTCTTAGGTGTTTTACTGATGCAACAGGTTTCAGATTGCAAGCGTTTTTTTCATGACTACGTAAAAGCTTTAGGCCAGAGTAGGGCATTATTAACTTTGGTCTACATCTCCGATGAACACCTTTAGTATTTGACTCATACATCCCTTGCATGATGCAAAACATAATCTTACTGCAAATAGGAAAGCGCATGCTATGGTTCGCATCTTTTATAATTGCTTACTTAAATACGAAATGCTTCTAGTGAAATAAGTTAACAGGAAAAACTAAGATATTATCAAGTTGCTTGAATAATAATATATTTATCGACTTTAAACAATTATTCTCATCATTATTAAATGTCGAATTAGTATTTAACCTTAACAATTATCTTGTGCATTCTGAGTTACAATTTGTTCTCAACAAGAACGAATGTTTCCCATCAGGTAATCAATTAGTCGATTAAGAAAAAAAGTTGTGAAATAAAAGTTCTCATTAAATGGTGATGAATTCATTTCCACGTAGTCATTGAACAATTGAAAATTAACAGTACAATTTAAATTCTTCAAATGTGTACCTTTTATTAATTGGTTTAACGTGACTTTCACCGTTTTCAATATTACAACAACACCTTTAAGCTCGTTCAATACTTCAAAAACTTTGATTAATCCAAATGTAAATTTAATCATTATTTGAGTAATTTTCCTATTTAATATTTCATCTAATAATAGAAATTTCGGCAAACATTTCCTAACACCAAGAATTATAGTTAATGATTGTAGTAGAATCTGAAATCATAAAAATTCATGTTATTGAGAAATTAAATAAAATTTGTATAAGATATAAAATCACAATGAACTTAGTCATTAAAAACACAATAAATTATTGATTTTAAAGTGATGAATTTCTAACATACAATAATTCTCATTGAAATATGTATCAGACATTGTGTCGTTTTTACTTGATGAAAGCCGTTTAATTAATTTATCAAAGCTATTTGGATTAGTTCCAATGAGTGTATCCAGACCTTATGATTGTTAGATAATATTCTATTGACATATAGAATAAGTCAGCCAGTCTATGATATCGCACAGAATATCTGTCACAATTACGACAACGATCGTACAGTAGTCTCATGATTTCATCAATAATAACTTTAATATTTCGTAGACTAACTGTGGGGTATACAACAAACGAAAACTAGGGAGCACTGTAAAGCTGTTCTGTTTTGATATAGGACTTCTCACCATTGTTTTCCCGCGATCTCACCGTAAGTCAAATCCCCGAACTTTGAACTTCGAGGCGGTTACTTAACCTTGAAGACCTCTAAGGTGGTATTGAATAATTTTCATATCCAACTTCAATCACTTTTGTCTACTATACAAAGATTATCCAACGGCATTGGCGGGAAACGGTATCCAATGAAAAAGGTGTGAGCAAATGGGCGACGATTAGTAGACACAATCATCAAAATGGGTGCATTAGTAAGGGCGACCCTCAAAAATGCCCATGTTAATTAACATTAGCATCTAAAGAGGGAATATAATCACTTCTTGATCAATGTGCAAACTGATTTCCACCCTAAAAATTATGTATTACATTTCATATTCTACGATTGACTACTTTATTTGTTGGATTACTATACATACAAATGCACTGCCTGAGAAATTAACACTTTCAAAAATAATGTTCTCCTCGTTAAGCTGTCATTAATTCTTTCCAGAATATGCTGATAAATTGAATCGGCGAAGGGTACACTTTATCAAAACTCAGTTTCACTGGAACTTTATTTATTCTATGTATATTTAAACACGTACATTGAAATTGTACTAACAATTCAAAGTGCCGATAAAATTGGTCTATTTATACATTATTTTATGAGTCACTTCTCTATTAGGAAGTTTATTTACCGATACTACATTCAAATGTCAAGAATTAGATCCTACGATTATAATCATCCATTATTTACAACACTACAAATATCAAGACTGCGTTAATACAGAGCTCTAACTAAGTGATTTTTCGAGTCTAGTTAATCTCTTCATCCAAATGCTGTGGTACCCTGAGTTTTTGAAGTTGGTACTTAGCTAATCGATGCGGAAACTGGTCCAATAATAAAATTCTTTTTTCACTGCGCCCATAGTTATGAACCAGGTAATTCTTTACTCTCACAGTTGTCCTATATTCAGAGATACAGTTTATTACATCCAGACAACTAAGGTTTGATAAAGTCGACTAACTATCATCGGAAATACACCAAATAATATATTTCATTGAATTGACGGCTGGAAGTTAAGCTAATACTGCATATGACAAACCGGTTGATAATGTAACCACTGCTTGATGTTCCACTTATATTAGCGAACTCCTTAATCGTTTATTCTGATCACACTTTCATCACAATTACTTAATCGTAATTATGACTATCATCTTCACATTTTCGGTCATTTGAAATTGTCTAACTACCTCTTATTGTTTTGAGAATCCAAAACATGCAAAAAGGTGATCTCTTAACTGTTCGAAATAAACTGGGGTAACATGGATAGCAAATTAAAACTGCATTCGAAAAATTACAAAATTTTTTAAAAATAGACCAACTTATCTACCATATTTTTCACTGATATTTACTAACCTTAGCATAGTCGTACGTTACAGAACTCATTTCCATGTTAAAACTCAATGTTTCATAGATTAGATTAGCAAAATCTAGCATTATTTTTACATCATTTAGCTTAGCGCTTAATTCCAAACCAATTACCAACTTTTCAGATAAATGGATTTTTTGAATCTGTTGGAAAATAAAGCAAATATTGATTTCATAATATACAGTTACTAGAATTTCTACATAAATATTAACTTAAGAAAGGTAAAAACAAAATTTTGGTTGAATCAATTATGTTCATTCAAATAGAGTTCAGTAATTTCGAAGTAATCGTGATTATAAATCTATGGTAAACAATAATTTCATTCTATCCAATTCATAAACATATTCACTGTGAAGTGAGGCAATATAATGACTAAATCTTGATCCATTTATTTAGTATTGTCGAATTTAGTAAAGAAAGTATGAGGCTGCAATCATTCAAGCAACAGTGTAAAATGACTTTAGTTGGAACTATTTGGACCCTACCTTTTTTCAGACTGCAGACATTTTATAAGTTAGAATGTATACAATCTAGATCGAGCATTTTTTAAAAATGCAATTTACGGTAAGTTTTATTGTAAATCCCAAGTTCAAGCGCGAGCTTGAGAACTTTTTTTACGGCCTTGACAACTTTTTAAGCCATAAATGATCTATGATGCTACAATCATGACCTAAGGTACAGAATTAGGACTTTGCATTATAATTTAGAATTAGAATGCAGGCTCCTGTTGTAGAATTCAGAAATTAAGGTTAGGTTTATGATTGAAATGGACTGTTTCTGAATCGGAATAAAGGGGATAGGATTTTTCAATAAAGTTAAGATTTACGGAACATACAATAACCGTAAGTTAAAATTCATAACAACCTACACCTGACCATTAATCTGAAAGTTCACATTCTAACCTTGAACCATAATATCATCTCTCAAGCCGAATCCAAAAGTGGTTAATGATGTATTCGTCACTAAACTAAAAGGTTAAGTTGCTTTCCTAAATCAGAATATTAATAATCTCATCGAGGATCAACGATTCTACGGGAAAATCTATTTTATCTTTATCAGGTAACATACTGTTTAGTTGTTGTACATATCTTTAAAAAGATATGTACGTTATTTATTGGCTCATCCTCATAGTCTAACTTCACGAGTTTTGTTTAGTGGCAACTTATTACTTATGTAATTGCTAAACACAAAACAGACTTTAACAAGGTCAACAGAAATAAATCAAGATCGAGGTTAACAGAACAAGCTACGGGTCAAACGTGGAGAAATTGGAATACTTCACTTCTATCTGAAATTTGTACTGATGAGCTGTTCAGAAGAACAATGAAAGCCCCACAACCAAAACATACAGCTTAGAGAACAAAACACCACCATAATCATCCATCCACCTGAGCTGCAGATTTTTTCCAACATCTCAATATGTGAATAAACTAAAATCAATCCATAGTCAATGGTCGCACATATGTAAATAACATATAATAAAGACCGGTATGATATTCTGTTTGCTTTTATCTTGAAACAAAAGATAATACTTTTTATACCACAATACAGATCTTTATGAAAATTGTTTTTCGAGATCTTTTTACTTTACATTATGTGTCTGTGAGTTACCTGCCAACTTCATTCGGCCATTAAACAATTCAAATAATATAATCAACCTTTTATAATAACAAATATGCAAATTAGACATGGAAGTTTTACTGACCAAAAATGTTTTTTCAAAGTATAAAAACATTAGCAATAGTCTTACTTGTTTGTCTAACAAATAAGTGTAATTACCAAAATTTTTCAAATGTAGATTTTCAAACTTTTGATAAAATGAACAGTGCCATAGCACACATGTTGTTAGATGTTTCAATAATATGTTTGTACATTGAAAACTATTTGATTCTCTCAATCTGTAATGGGTAAAGCAAATCATATCACTTAAATGATAATAACAAACATACTTTAAACCAGTTAAATGAGATGGCTTTTCATCATCTGTTATGCGGCTTTTCTCCGTTAAGTATTCCCATATCATATTAATTGTCTGAGCTGAGAGACATTGAAATAAATTACGTCGAAACGCCGACTAAATAAAGGAAAATGAATAGCGAGTTGAAACTAATTATTACAGTGGAATAATTTTTAGTGTAGAATGACTTATATATATACATATATAAAATTCTATTCCCTAATTCACTCTCTGAGATTCGTTTGCTTGCATTTGTGTTTGTATTCGCTCCTTGCACTCGGAGCTTTGTAGTCTGTGCTGTGCAATAATAAACTGTAGTCGATGCTTCGTACTGTTTTCTGAAATCCATATACCGTAGGAAGTTTCCTAACAATAATTAGCAGAAGGAAAAATGGGATAAGATAATCTATATAAGTGCAGTACATACTGAGAAGGCATCACTGTTTAATACAGTAATACGTTCTGATATGCACTTTGTTTTCTCTCCTCTTCTGATATATATCAGGCAATTTGCTTATTATTATTTTTCGTGCTCATTTAGATTTAAATCGATTCGCAGTTGAACTATTACGTTAATATCTATAACCAGGCATTAGTGACCATTGTCACTTCAAAATTAAATGGTAACTTAAAATCTCTCTATGAATAAGGTAGATGGTAATGAATATTGTTACTCTTTTATTAGAGATTCAGGTATCTGTCAAAAAATCGTTTCTTCTGTTTCCTAGACTGTCCGTAATCGGAAATAAAAATTATATATAGATAAGGTTGTTCTTAAACCTTTGACTATCAAATTAAGACTGTGAAAGAGAAAAATATATTGCTCTTATAACTCTACAGAAATATAAGTACAATTTTTATGTTAGAAAAAGCACATCATTTTATGTTATTTTCATCATAACGAAACCTGTGTCCAGCTTTACAACTCACAAATACACAGAATGTACCTCAGTAAGATGGAAAAATGTCCGTTTAAGTTGGTGTGTCAAGAGTTAATTGTTATGAAAGCCAACCGTGAACACAATTGGGAAGTCGCAAATGATTTGCAAGTAAATGCTACTGACGTGAACAATTTTCTATGATAGAATTACTGACTAAGCATATTCGGATACTGGCTAACAGTATAATACAGGACTTTTTTCTGTCCTATTCGACAATTTTCAGCTGGATCTTACCGATACTATTAACTATGAGACTCGAACTCAGTGCCTTTTGCTTTAAATGTCGGTAAGTTATTTACTTAATTACCCGGTCCAGACATACTGATTTGTGAATTTAAACCCTTACAAATCAATGACACAAATGTACGACTTCCGTCTTAATTTAAAACAATGTCGATAATAATAATAATAATTTACCTGTAGGAGATGACACAATCCCGTATAATTGCACAGCAACGAATAAGCTAAAATTGGTTTAGTACTGTAACCTAAACCATGTTTATGTGTTCCTATCGGTCGACCTTCTTTATTGTAAGCTGCTACAGCAAAGACATATTCTTCATTCGGTGTTAGATTGGTCACTTTTAAAACACTACAGCCATTATGACAGATGACCTAAAGAAAGATTATAAAAGTATGCATATTGGTGATTAGGTGTTTATTTACTAAACGGATTGATGATTAATTATTGACAGATTGAATTAAATACCTCAGATTAAACCAATATCGCAAAAGGTTATTCAAAATACTGTTGATCTAAGCTTGTTCATCTTCAGTTAAGCATATAAGTAGGTTCCTAGATTATTTCCAGTTGTGATAACATTTACATACTATCTCAGTGTGATCGGTTCGAATCAATTAAATATTTTTGTCGTATAACAAAGTAGGTTTCATCTTATGAAAGGAAAATTAAATTCCAGCCTTAGTAAAAAACTAGTACGAAACTTATCTTATACAGTTGTATTTTTGCATCTTTAGTATAGAAAAAAATAAAAATCAACTGAATAATGAAAAGTATTTGTAAGTGAAAATTACAAATATACTACTGGGTCAGTTTGTGTTGAAAAGAAATGATATATTCATTTAGAAGTAATTATTCACCGTTGTTTAGATACATTCCGGTTATTTATATAAAGCCCTTCATAAACATCACTAATTAAAATACAAAAGCATTAGAATTCAACTTTAGAATTTAGTTTTAGCAGTCAAATAACTCTCATAGTTTATGTCCGGTTCAAGTAGATGAACCTGTACTTCATGAAATGAATTACCTTCTCAAGAAAGACTTTCGAAGACATATATAACAACATATTCGATGACCATTTCTACCGATCTGTTTGAGACGTTAAATACTGACTAGGATGTGAGTATGAACTACGATGGTGAATTTGTTTCCAAATTAAGATAGATGAAATGAAATAGAATATATGAAAGTTTGATTTATATTATGCGATAGATTACAGAATATTTCATGACAGGGTTGTGAAGATTAGTAAGCTACACATTTAAAAGGATGAATTGATCAATGTTAGACCACCATTAGAAACCTGGAAGCAATGGACGGCCGTTGCGTTCTGGTATGAGACTTATCAGCAGCAGGTTTCTAATGGTTGTCTAAGATTGGTCGATTCATGATTTTAGATGTGTAACTTACTAATCTTCACAACCCCGTGATGCAATTACCTGTGATCACTAGTGACTAGCTCCGTGAGCAATCTTCTCCCAGTTCTAGTAGGAAGTCATGACCAGTGAAGTTCAACCTGTTCGGGTGTAGACGGTAACAACTACCGAAGACAGTGTATGAGGTTGCGCAATACAATGAATCGATCAAAGTTAGACACGAACATCGTTGTATACCGGCTAAGTTGGCCCAGAGGTTAGGCGATCGCGCGCAAGACCAAGGGTCCTGGGTTCGAATCCTGGGAGGTGCAATAATCGTGGTAGCGCCTTGATGATGAGTCCCGCACCAAAGCCAAACGATAGTCCAGTGCTTTCGGGTTTCCAGTGATGTTCTAACATTGATCGATTCATGATTTCAAATGTGTAGAAAATATTTGTTATAGAAAACATGAATTCAAGAAATTTTAACAACACGAAAATGTTATAAATTAATGCCAACCAGCAGATTGCGTTTTCTTACCAAAACTCCAGTATTGGTTAATTTATTATCCGTGATGTGAACTTTTTGATTGGATACAAATGTTTGTTTACCGTACAGCGCATAGAAGTGAACCTAAAAATAAAATGTGGCCATAAGAATTCAGTGTCATTAGGTTTAAAAGTTTGCAGTTATATATATATATATATATATATATATATATATATATATATGACATTTATTTTACATTTCACTTTTGATTATTTGATCGTTATTGATAATACAATGAAAATGTTTCACATCACCATTTGATATCAATTAGAATGTTATTGACAGTTAGAAAGGAATAGTCAGATTCTTCGTCCTAGTGAAAGATTCCACAGCAGTGAACAGCCATGAACACACAAAAAATAGTTTAGTGATCTTTACAAACCTTAAATATAGCAATATTCTAATAATCAGAAAATTTCGAATACAGTTCGTTGGTGACATATTGTCAGACTGAATAGAAAAATACTTTGCCTTTTTTAGTAGTTGGTATTTTTTATAAATAGTATTAACGTTTCTCTATGACTTTTAGACAAGAAAAACCAGAAGTAGCACTCAATCCTATAGACAAGCATTTTCACGTTACCTGTTCTCTAGATGATGGAGTCCACTTTTGTGTTTGAAATACCATTGAATTTCCACATCTAGCGATCACTATGGGTGGTGGTGGTCGATCAGACTGCAAATGTTCGGTTTCCGGTATTTTTTCATGTGGTTCATTCAAACTAGTTGATTGTCTGCAGTTGATAACTTTATTACTCTCCTTAGAATGAGGTTCATTTGACCAATTATTGAATAATAATTTCTCAGCAGTCTATTGTATAATAAGAAATAAAAATGAAATTCGAATACGGCTGACATTCTGTTATACAGGTCTCACTATGTGATGAAGTTATTAATACATGTAGTCGATGATTAGCCAGGTATGTTCACTAACCCATAATTTGTATATAGGATATAAGCAGAAAGTGATTGGATGCATTTTTTTCTGTAACTTACCTTTTGACTTGTATGCAGTAATTAGTACAGTTACATGCCAAATTGGTTTTTTATTAGCTTTGAATAAATGAATTATCTTGATCTTTCAATTTATTTCATCATATGCCCTCGTTATTTACTCATGTACAGTCCTGAGCAAGTTTATATGATAGTACGGAAGCGTCCATTAACTCTCTGTATTTCTTACGTGTCACTTGGTCATTCTCTGAGCCGATGTATATCTGGTCTCCATTGCTTGATACAATGACTGATTCTTTTGTTGCGTTTCTGCAATTTGATATTAGTACGTCCGAAATACCTATGTTATGTACACACCTGGCGTTCAACTTCTGATATACAGTTATTCAAAATCTGGTAATTTGATAGTAGATAGAGAAAGTCAAGTAGGATATATATTTCGTTAGAATCTGTATCCTCCAGGAATTATGGAGTCGAACAGTAGCCAATTAGGTCGATTAGCTTCGCCTTCACTCATGAAGGCTGAGTGAAAGACTTGCGTTGAAAGTAATATTCGACACAAATTATTTCATATTCTGTTTATCTAACTATCCTTTTATAGAATATCACATAAACTTTTCAAAGAACACAGTATTTAGGGTTTTCATGGTTCTTTACTTACTCTTGTAGTGCCTCCATATATATTCCAGTTCGCTTATATTTTATTTGGTTAAGCCCTTTCGATTAATTTATTTAACCATGCCATTTGTATTACAACAATTTATATGTACCGTTCGTTCTTATTATTGTCTGGTTTGTGTGAGCTCACAGACGTGTTCCACTTGTCATTTGACCTTGTCAAATATTCGTCGCTTTTATTCATGTGTGCCTGCCTATTTCGCTTGTCACATGTCAGTCTTATATTTATCTGAATATATATTCTTAGTCACGTTCTATTTCTTGGAGTTGGCTCATTAGCCTTCTCCAACGCGCTTCGCCCGTTCATTCGCTTCCTTCGTCCATTCGTTCGCATTGTAATCCTAGGAGTTGTCTCAACAGCCTTCTCGAACGCATGTCGCTTCATTCGTTTTATTCACTGCTTCTCCGCTTCACTTTGTGGTGTGTCCAAAAATAAACGTATTCATCACTTCGAGTTCACCTTCTGATTTATAAACTGTCAGACGCTATTTAGTAACGATTGTCTGGACGAGCTAATCACGAACATTAAGAACACGCAGTAAATCGACACACTACACTCTAAATGGTAACAGCTAAGTTAATTAAGTTATCCTTAGGCTGGATATTTTCTCTGTAAATTTAAAAAGAACACCACTACTACTTTTATAATGTACGTCCATTGATGCACACTAAATAATGATTGAATTTTGATATATACCTGTTGAGTCAATCTGATGTTTTAGAAAGAAAGCTAACTCATTCATACAATAAAATAATACACTTTTCAACTTATTGACAAAACTTTTCACCTGGTAATATTTTTTAGCTGTTTCATTGTTCACTTCACTTTCTGCTTTTAAACAATAGTAAAAAACTTTAGCAATTTTATTTCGACCACATTGTTTAAGTGAATTTTCATCCATTTGTTTAATCTTCTGATCGACCTTTTCTTTGGACACTTCATTCAAATCATACCATGTTAGATATTCTGAAATATTTTAGAAACAATCGGTGAATTTCATGTCTCATTAAAACTTTAAAGATGTTTTGTTGTTAAGTTACCCTCTAAATGATTACAATTGATCATCTTTCTCTGCTAATCTAGATTACAGGGGTGCGACGTTTGAAAAAAATTAACTTTAGCTTCATTAGCATTATTCTTACCTCTCTCTAATTTTAATGAAAGTCCCCTCCTTACCTTTGAAGACATAAACTTATACATTCAGTCACAATTTCTCCATTGGACTCCTAGGCATATATCATTTTACAGATAACTAAATCAATACAATCAATAGCTGTCGCACATTTATCAGTGCAAACTTTTGTACTAGGTCGATGGTGTATATAAACAATTTTGAAGACCTATTTACACATGATACAGAGAGAGAGAACTGTAAATAAATGATAGTGTAAAAATCGACAAATTTTTTCTGATTCAAATAATAATTTCAGATTCATACAAAATTTCATTTCTGTACTCAAAGCACTATATTATCCAAAGAAAATGTCTCTAGTGAAAAATATTAGACCAACCCATCCAAAGATTTTCTATATATGAGTACAAAGATTTGAACAAACTTACCTAAATTTCGGAGCTTCCATCGGATTGTATGCTCGAACCATAATAATTCAACTTGGAGCTCAGAAAGACTATTAATTTCCAGATTCTGAGGCTTGATTGTTATATAAAATTAAAAAAAAACTTCGTTAACAGTAGTAAACTCATGTTTATATGAGCTGACATACATTGCAGAACATTATCTACTTTTCAAACAATCCAACATTGAAACACGAACAAATTAATCGGTTTAACAAGAACTGAAAAAAACAAAATTACCCCTCAATCGAAATGAATAGATTCGATGTTTAATTGTGTGTCCATTTGAATGACAATCACCAAGTATTTAGTTAAAATTTGTGCACACCAATTAATATGACCCACAACAGCATAGTAAATAAAGAAATCAGATAAACAATTTCTGTTACCGATTCAAAAAATAACTATCACAAAAAGACATCTAAATTACTTCATAGGTATAAAACTAGTCTCCTGAATACGATCACACTTTTTCATTGCACCAACAAATAAATGACTGTTATAAATCTACAATTACATGATAAATAATCGAATATTATCATCATTTCATTTGTATTTTGGTTGTAAACAATCAAGTTGCATTAGAAAACATTTGACTGAAAAAAAGCCTATTATTGAAAAAGCTCTTAAACATACCAGCGTTTATGATCTTACGTTATTTATCGAAACTGTTGGGGACGTTAGATCCCTAGAAATCACTTGATAAAGGTCTTAATTTTGGATTTTATGCTTTCGCGCACGGGTTAGTCAGCTGATCTTGAGATTATATTTCCCAACCGGAAAATCCGTGGCTGTTATTGGTTGATGTATTTTTCAGCACGCTATTTTTGTGCCTGTCTCTACGGCATTTCTCTGGTAAATAAATAAACTCAATCTGTGTGTTTGTGAACTTCATATTTTCTGGGTGCTTGTAGAATACACTTTCTACGCTGTATGAAGACTTTTGATATCGTTAGAAGGGCAGTGGACAATAGAATCAGAATAGCCTACCGTGCTACTGCATCATTTGTCTTCGAGTAAGGTGAACTCGTAATAGTTTCAAGCATATCAGTAATATTCTTGGTTAGCTTTACAACTGGTATCCGTAGTTTAAGACTTCCGAATACGAAGATTAAGCATTTATTTGGTTTCCTTTTGACCATGTAATTCTTCTTCAACAGAAGACAACTTGATAATTTGCTCGTCTACTCTGGTCAATTTAACATTTTTGAATGATTACAACTGTCACACTATTATTAGTGCATTTATGAATTCATTATAAACAATGACTTCTTGTTCAAATTCATATAGTTTAAAAATCACAATACACAGGATACTTACATGATTTATTTGAAGAAATATCATTCTTTTACCAATCGTATTATGTGACCAGTAAATAATATCGATTAATTTATTCCATATAGTAGTCCAAACATCAATCAAACATATGACTGACTTGTCGTTTTCATTAGGCTCTTTAGCAATTTAAAGAAATGTGTGACAAAAACATTAAGATTTTACAAAAAAGTGTATTGTAGGATTTAAAAAATAAATTAACAGATAACTACTTATCTTATGACTAATAATTGAGACGGCTTGTTGACAATGTTCTTCTACACATGTGTGGAGGACAAAGTTTTTTCGGTAACAAGACAACCTACGGGTCAGTTTCCTGTGCAATACTCAATGATTTTAATCAACCGGAAACCTAAAAAACTAATGAACTAATAGTATATCAGGTTGATTTTTAATACTGAAGAAACAATTTACGCATCAGTTATGGAGAATGAAATGGTAAACTACATTCACTGTTTAGATAGGAAAAAAATCAGAAAAACAAGGAACATTTGTCTCTCTTTGAAAATCAAATCTGTAACTTAACAGTCTTCAAAAACTCCGTAATACAATTACCTGTGCTCACTAGTGGACTAGCTCCGTGAGCAATCTTTTCTGAATTCTAGTGGGAAATCATGACCAGTGAAGTTCATCCCGTTCGGGTATAGACAGTAACTACCGAAGACTCCGTGAATTGATCGAAGTTAGACATTAACACCGTTAGATACCGGCTCAGTGGTCCAGAGGTTAGGAGTTTGCTCACAAGACCGAAGGTCCTGGGTTCGAATCCTGCGAGGTGCAGGAGTCATGGATGCGCACTGCCGATGAGTCCCATACCAGGACGAAACGGCCGTACAGTGTTTCCCGGTTTCTAATTGTGGTCATTTCGAATGTGTAACCTAACAATCTTCACCACCGCGTTATGCAGGTAATAATGTACATAAATTTCATATTTTATGAAATTGACTATGTTTATGCAAATAAAACAGAATCATACCACTATAGTTGTCAAATAGTGAATTTACGTACAACCTCCAGTTATTATACATTGGTACTTGATAAGGTGAGTAATCATTACGTTAATTGAAGAGTCCCTCTTGCCCACTTTACTTATAACTGAAGACATATCCACCTACATTTACCACATTTTCCTAACTCTTCCATAAGTTTTCATTTGAGACTAAATGCTACTTCTTAAAATTACAATGACTTCAAATGTTTGTTATTTACATACAATACATCTTCACCAACTCTTATCGTTTTCCACAAACTGTTTTTTATTTTCGCTTTGAAAAATAAACATTCAAACCAATTTCGAGAGTACAAGAAATCCATGGAACTTTTAAACCTACCCCAAAAAACATCATCTGGTTTCATTTGTAAAGTTAATGCATTCAATAATAATAATTTCGCATGCATTGAATCTAATAAGGAATTTCTATTTGTCTGTTCTTTGAAATTATGACCAGGGAATAATTTCTGTTCAAATAATTCCATAATCCATAGAATATAAAATATGAGATGACATGACATTAAACCATCGGCTGCATCAATATTGAACAATTCCAATATGGTTTTTATGAGATTAAATAAATAAAGAATCTAAATAAAAAAAATTGGAATTAAATGAATAAGCAATGTGTGTATGTGTGCGTGTTTTTAATTTACATTAAGGAAAATATGAAATTAAATCCATCATCATTTAACAGAAATATCCATATGTACGTGTGGATTTCAATTTTCATGTCTATTTTAAACAACTATTATTCAACACAATATGGCTAATTCATAATTGTGAATTGATAAGAATATGAATAGTGAAAGCGAATAGCAGCTACTAGTATACAAGCAGATAATTAAGTTAATATTCAGACTGTATCCATAATTCACTTATCAATTCATACTATCTCAAAGAAATTCATCAGTTTTATAGTTTGTTTTTTTTTCTAAAATGCATTGGACCTTTAATAAGCTGCATTCAGAAAAATAATTCACTTATCAATCCGCTAATTCTTCGTTTATATTTTTCTACTAAACTCTTAATTTAGACAGCATAATAAGAAGTTTGATTATGAAGGCAATTGGACTTTTATAAAAAGTTTACATTTGATGGTTTTACATTGCAGCAAGAGTATAATAAAACTACTACTACAATGGAAGCGATTTACTCTACTACTTTAACGTTAACAAATTCGTTTAGGATTCGAATCTTGTATAGATCTAATTTCCAAGCATACTAGTTTTGTTTAAAAGATCTTTGATCAATCACTAATATGATCATGAAGTATTTAGACAAAAATTTTATAAATATTGTCAAACTAATCGTTATAAATGTGCTTCTTCAACTCTACTTGAAAATTATTGCTGTAACCTTGAGTACAGCCATTAGAGAAGTCTTTCATTTTAAATTTTATTAGTTTTTCTACAATTGTTGCATAACACTGTACATAACAAAACAGTTTTAAAATTAGTTAGACTGGATGTCACTTGACTGTTTACACTCTGGACTGATAATCAGTCTTTTAATAAAAATTTAAAACTAAAATACTTTTGACATCATTTAATGTCGTTAAATGAATTTTTATGTTAAAATCTTCTATGCACAAACCATATTTTCACCAGCAGATTTAAGAAGTTAACTTTTTGATGATGAACTTCCTATGGTGTTGGACATTTTTCGCAAAAAATATAGAAATACTACTATAATAGACATTTTCTACAAACACTATGCATCACTACCCTGTATAATCGTAGTATGTTGGTGAAATTTACAATTATAATAATAATAATATCATTGATTCAAAAAGGTTCTGACGAAGATTGTTATGCTTAAATACCAAAAAAAATTATTAAAATAATCAAGTATTTTCTATATGATAATTTTAATCGATCTACTTACTCCAATAAGCTTCATTTTGATTGTGGCAAAATACTCCATTTTCAATTTGTTCTGAATAAACCATTTCTGACATAATGTATAACAATAATCCCATAATACTACAATTGTATCTATAAAAATTGCATCATCATACATTGAAATCTATTGTATCAATTAAATGTTGAATAACATTTGTATTTACCTGAAGTTCATTCTTTTTTCGAAAGAAATTATCTAATTTTTGTACTAATTTCAGAACACCTTTTGGTAAAAAACCTGATAATTAAAATATTTAGATAAAACTACTTGTTTTTAATTAACTTACTTAAAATTAATGTTTGATTTTGTAATGACCCAGTTGGATTTACTTCTTTATCACTGTCCAGTAATTCGATTACCTACACCAATTAAACAAACAATAAAATGATGATATGCATTTTAAACAAAGTTTGATAATGGCTAACAAGTGAATCTAGAATGTATGTTTAAGTCTGTTTCAGTCAGTCACTCAGTCAGCTACAACGTAGAACTTTGTACATACAGAGGCAATCCTGTCGTTAAGAAACGAATACTAGATAGGGATGGCAAATCAATGGATGAAGTATTGAAACTTAAACATTTGAAGTGATTGGAACATGTGTTACCTATGCTTAACCACCGACTGCCTCGACGAACTGTGTTTTGTGGTGTAGGAGTAGGTTGTAAGAAAGTTAGGGGTCGCCAGACCAGAACATGACAGAAATCTATGGAGTCACTGCCAACTGGACTGAGTTATGCTTGTAATTGTAGACTACCTGGTTGGGGTCCGCGAGACAACAGTAACTGATCGCTAAAGACTTTGGATGACATGGCTCAAAATCTTTTGCAATAGCGCAGGTGCATCCACTGTTAGTGTCCTCTCAAATCGTAATCCTCTGAATTCGTCACTACCTCTATCTTTCTCTTTTTAAATTTATTTTACTACATTATACTTCTTGAATAATATCTTCGAACCCTAATCTCTCCGATTACTGCCAATACTTCTACTTCCTGTACTACTATGGGATTCGAAGTGACAATTGCGTCTCTAGGCTAATTGGGCATGACAACCTGAACTTGTGTACATACGTACGAACTTCTGCTTTGTAGCTGACTGACTGACATATGTACATCAGTTCAAGTTACCATACTATCTTAGCTTACATAGATCAAATTATCAATTCAAATCCCATAATAGAAGAGGTAGTAGAAGTATTAGCGGTAATCGAAAACATTACTGTTCGAAGATATTATTATTAGGTCTGTTTGAAATTACCTAGATGGATACACCTTCATTGTAGTGCTGATGTTGAAACAGAATTAAGTTACTGTATCATAGCAAAAAAAGTAGCAATATCAGATCATACAAACTACGTTACAATCGATAGGGGACAGAGGCCTACATGTATCGACAATGCAGTCTTTATTTAACTTACCGTTTACTAGTAGGTATGATATTAGCTGAAAGCGCCCACAACGTATTTTTCCTGATTAAGTTTCAAGTGTGTTGTTGCCTCCCATATTTCTGATGAAAATGAACGTATGCAACATCGCTGTGACCAATAGCATTTATGTATGACTATATACTCTTTATTATTAGCTAAAATTGTAAGATTTTACCACAATACTATATTCAGTATGTCCTTTTACAATTTCTTAACTCGATAAATTCTACTGACCACATTGCGACTGTGATATTCTTAAAATCTTATTATTTACTGTACACCATCAATAACAAATTAAATTTTTTTGGTTACAACAGTTGTTCAATTTCAATTTTAATTAATTACATCGTATGTTACGTAAGTTTCAACGGGATACCGCCTTCTTCAGAACTTACCGAATTCGATGCATCCTGTTGTCTGATTGGACTTTTACTTAATTTAAATGCTTGAATTTCTTGTAATTCACCTTCGCTTGTGTCATTTTTATTCAGTACTTTTCTTGATAATTGTGTAGAACGTAAAGCACGAAGTAATTCCAATGTGTCAATTTGTGCTTGAATATATTGTATAAATTCTTTAGGTGATTGTTCTCTGACTAAATCTGATCGTTTTTCCTGAATAACAGAAAATAATTTCAATGATTTAAATCAGTACAATGATTGTTAATTTATTACTGTCAATGTATAACAGCCCAAACTGTATTGATAACATTGAACAGAATTAAGAAAGAAAGCAACTGCAGATATAAAACTGAAAAGAATGTTTATTAAAGGATAGAAAAATAGTTGAGTGATTTTATGACCTATACGAATTCTATGTCGACGATTATGTGACGGATAAGCCAACATTTATCTTGATTAAAGGTAGACCTAAATAATATATTGAGAAAATATGATTGAAAAATTGAATTGTGAAATGTAAACAATTCTTTTAGTTACAGTAACACGTGCATGAGGGATTTTAGATAAACAGCAAATTATCCAACTTGTTAATTGTCCATTTGATAACACTGTCGTGAAACGATCAATTACCCTTAGATCTAAGGTGTTTAAGTTAAACGATTAGATTAATAAGTTATCCTGAAAGTAATCTTGACAATTTAAATTATATTCTTTAATGCTTTTGTTTAAAACTTAATTAAACACTATACAAAAATAAAACCTAATGACATCAGTTATAAATTAGACTACAAAATTTGAATTTCAAAGGCATCGATTTGAAATCCTTCATCAAATTGGACTTGAATGAAGTATGTCTAAAAGATATCTTTCCGAGAACGTGAAAGATATGATGAGAAGTTAAAGGCACGATTTTTCTTAGACACACACACAGACAATATTTCTTCATTTAACAATAAGAAACAGATTAAAAAAAACATTGATATTGTTTATCATACATTTTTGTTCTTACAATTATTTTTTAAATTAACTAGGCTCGATATCCATAAACAAGAAGCCGTGAATAATTTGTTAGGGTTTTTCAAATGATAAAATATATATAAGCCTTCCTATTATGTTCATTTTAATGAAGAGTAAACAGACTCGATAGTGATTTACTTGTCAAAAAACTGTACATCAAACGAATGGTAATTCATTCGGGTTATAGTATAGAAATGAGAAGAATTTTGTCGATCTATTTTGCATGAAATAATCTTTCGAAAGTGACAAGTATTCTAGATTTTATTGCACTTCAATATAGTTATCATCTCTATTCGAAAGTTTTCACAACGTATTCTAATTCCTCAGTACAGAAAATCTCTATGATGTTCAAATAAAATGTTTTTACTGTATCTTTGAAAATCAGGAGGACCTGTGATTTATCCTAAATGACAAAACTGATAGTCGCTATAGAATTCAAACCTATTTCATTCCGTGTTAAAATTTGAAACGTCACATCTCTAATGATAGTGTTTTTACAAATACAAATCTAGTTTAATAAACACATACCAAAGCTATTACACCAATCAACATTTGAATAAACAATATTTTCAAAGTTAATAAGTAATACGGTTAAATAGAATATGTTACATACCTCAAAAATATACAAAGTATCTCTTGAAATCAAATCGAAAATATCGAATTGAGCACATGCAAAATAAATTTGTATCAATTTCATCAAACTGTCTATTGTACAACTAACATTTGTAGTTACAATTGGTGAAGATTTTGTTTTTGATTTTGATAATGATTCTTTTGTTTCTTCAAGTTCTTCAGCAAAGTCATGATAATTATATTGATAATATATTAAATCTAGTTGACTCCATCTCAAACATTTTGTCTGATTCAATGCTATTGTATGATTTGTCAAAGTGCCATAAGATTTTTCTCTATCTACTGGTATTTTACGCACGACATGTGTTCCAGATAAAAAATTAGGAATCAATTTTTTTGAAGAATTAGCTGAATGAGGAAAGGATTAAATAAACGAAAATGATTTAACACTTTATATTCTGCCTGGACCAATTATTATTTTAAGCCAAGTTAATTTGAATGGCCAAAGTGACCGATGGTAAATCAAAGATAGTTCAGAGAGAAAAAAGTGTTCCCTTTCTATTGTGTCGTCTACTCACACAGTACAGTGGTACTTATAGTAGTCTATTGAAAACTAGATGGAAGATTAGTTAATTTCAATTATCAGGAGGACATAGTGTATTGACCGAAGAAAGATAATTAGAAGAAACTCAAATAATTGAAAGTTTTTGTTGTTCGCCTGAATAACGCGAATATGAAGCTCAACACATGAGGATAATGAAAAAAAAGACGTAAGAATGATTAATATACAATTGAGAAAATAATATGAAGGAAAAGAAAATTCTCTTGACCTAATGGTCTTTAAATCAGTTTAAATTAATTTTCAATAATTTACATAATCTTTGTTGTGAACAGATAACATCTAGTAAACTATTGTGAGCCAGAAACGAAACTTCTAATCATCTAGTAATCTTAAGTTTACATTCACAATCCCGCTTAGTTTCGTACTAGGAATATACTGGTATTATAGGACGTAATTTGAGAATCACTTCGTAGTGCAACAATTTACAGTAACGATCAGTTCATTTTTTAAAAATAAGGTACATTATTTGCGACAACATTATTTATAAATTGTTCTCGCCAGAAATTTATAGCAAAGATTTCAGTGATGTAGAACACATGTTACTGCAGAAACAATTGTAGTACATGTTTGTTATCAGCGTACACACAGTAGTAGTCATCATTATTGTGTGAATAGAGACGTCCTTATTAGTAGGAATATAATTGTAGGGATAAGACATACACGTTTATAAACTGGCTTAGCTACAATTGTTATAAGCTTTGCGTAGTGATGGACGTCGAAAAGAATACATCAATTTGCAATAAGATTTTTCTTAGGTTTAGGACAGTGACTTCATGTATGGCAGTGAACGTCACATGCTTCAATTACTTTCACATATTTATTTTCAAACACTTATTTTATTAAATCAGGCTACAACTCTTCTCCTATTCTTTTGCCTAATTCTATTGTTAATCATTGTTAGGTTTTATTTGAGCTTCTGACAAGTTCAAAACTTTGATTGAGAATCAATCCCTTCTTATGTTAAAATGATACATCCTGGTTGTAGATACAATAAAATTTTAAGCTAAGTATTCGAACTCATAAGCCGCAAATCTATAACGACCACGCAAAACTAGCTTTTATAAAATATTTGAGATTTTTTTGACAACTTTCATGTTAGTTAATTGTTTTGCGTACCAAAATTTTCCTAAATGATATTGTGGATTGACAAAATATTTAAATGACTGTTCAATAATTCATACTTCCAAAATGCCCAAATAAACTAACTGTTCTGACTAATAACTGTCTTAAATTTTCTCCAATGTGTAATGCTTGTCATTTACTTAGTCAACCAATAGCTATCGAACAAATTAAGTTTTCATTTTCATCTAAATGCATTTTATTGTTGTATTTGTTGAACTTAGCTCTTCCTCTGTAGAACTAAATTATGTAAAATAGAAGCTATTCTAGTGAGAAACTTTATCTCGATTTCAATTAAATGAATACAAATGGTAACTTTACAAATAGTTTTGAATTAGAATCTTTTAAAAATCTGATGGTATTGGTTTTATCAGTATTAGAATTGACACCAAAGAGCTTGTCATAAAAGATTAGTAAGATATTATGTAATGACAGAACTTATTGTTTATGATAAATGAGACCACTGAAACTTCAATACATTTTTTCAATTTCCTTTAGCAGTAAAAAGTTTCATTTATCCCACTATGTTACTTAGTAATTAGTTAGTAGGTGTATATATTATTTGTCAATGAAAATCCAATTGTCGCATATCAAAGGTATTTTTGAAAGGAAATAGTTTGATACTTTATTCACTATACTCATTATTGTACATTCATTCCATTTCGGATAAAACTATGGAGATATTTTCATATAATAAGGTCTACAAGTCTAAAAATATATATTTTTGGTTGAAATGCCAATGAAATTAATTCACTTAAAAACTGTGAATGACAGATATTGACCAGACAGTCCGAAAGAAAAGAATTTCAAAGAATATCCGACAAGTATATGTAGAATGTGAAAATACGAAAACATCAGAAAAACTAACTTCGTAATACTATAGAATGAAGAAATATAGTTGATTTTCTTCAGCACTTTTCAACCTTTGCCTAAAACACAATCTTATCTTAATTATTCATCGTTATTGTTTTAAAATTCATGATCTCTTCTGAAGTAAACTATATAATCAAATTCTTACTTACGATAAATTAATTCAAGTGCTGCAATAAAAAGTTCCGTATAAACGTCAGACATTTCCCAGTCAGATGAATCTACCGGTGGTTTTGGTGCAATCAAACTTCTTCTTTCTCCAGGTTTTAAACTTAATGCTTCTAAAATAGCTAATATTTGAGCAGATGGATTTGGAAGTAACTGATTTAGGTAGCGTTCAGTAATTGTTCGAGGCCATGAATGCTGAATACAAAGTAAAAATAAGTGTTAAAAGTACATTTTATGTACAAAGTGATAAGTATGTTTTCATGAAAACGTTTACGAAATGAAAGCTTTTATATTGTGACAAATAAGCTCTTGCGCCTCCATAGGCTATTTTATTAGTGTATTGACTAATAAACGTTCAGGGAAGGTAATTAAAATAAGGAATATCCTCTGTGTTATACCTGCAGTGTAGGGATAGTTTTAGTGAACACTCAAAAACTAAATAAGGTAAATTGAAAAAAAACATGAAGTACAGTACACCAATTAGGCGTTTTTATTAGTCGAAAATTTACGGTTGACATTATCCTATAACTGTCACAGATCTGCCGGATAATGGTTGATGAAATCAACATTTAAGTATTGTATCAAGGCCTAAGTCCTGTCTAACCTCTTCGGGTTCTGCAACTAGATTGTAGTACTACCCTATGTACATAAACTAGCGTCAGCCAAAACAGATTATCCAACTTTGTACTTAGTTACTGAGTTACACCAGCCAAAGCACTGTTAGTAGGTTGTATGTCTTATAAATTTAGTAAGCAAAGAAAGTTGTAATAAAATAATAATCACTGAGAAAAATCAAATGAGAATAAAAGTGTAATTTCTATCGTTTTTGAGAATTTTTTCATTCAACTAATCAATCGTTGTGGTTTTATTTTCACTGAGGGTTTCATTTTAATCATCTAAAGTTATTTGTATATGTTAACAGTATAGAGAATCACAATCTGACGAGTGAAATGAGTAAATGAAATGAAAGTGATAGGTTTATGTGAAATCTTGAGTGAAAACTTTGAACATTTTATATGTAACTGCTAACAGTTAAGACAGATTTTCATTACCCTTTAATGTGTACAACACAAACCGTTTGTGTCTCATTCCCAATTGTTCATATATATCTATCCTGTCTTGGTTTACCAGAAAAAAGCTATTTCAGTAATGATATTTTTGCAAGGAGAAAGTTGTTACGCCTGCACATAAACACGTCATTTTGATAAACTTGAACTATTACGAGTTTACCTAGTTGGAAAACGAGAGTGAGGATCAAGGATCCGGTGACACGACATGCTACTCAATCCGATTATCTCAACCCCCATTGACTAAAAGAAGAAGACTTGATATGAAGTAGAACCTGTATTCTACAAGCATCCAGATAGTACGAGGTCCGAGTCCAGAAGAAAATCAGGATCCCGGACTAGGGATCCGGGACCGGGTCCTGGTTCTGGTCATAAAACGTTACATATAATGCGTATTTTTACATTTTGGTCGAATAGGAAACAGCATCGAAGTCTGTGACATTGACAGTTAAGACGACCGATAGGAAGCAACACTTGAAGTGACATTGATAGTCAAAACAACCTATAAGAAACAACATTGTAGCACGTGACATTTGATATCTAGGACGACCATAAAATTGACCAGTTGAAATTAACCAACAGGAATTGATCTATATCTCTCTTAGGATATTGGATGAATATTCTAACAAAAATGAAATATCACTGATAAAAAGAAAACTGCCTTCCTAATGTTATCGTTGCAATTAAAAAAATAAACATTCATCTAAATTTTATTACACATTTAAGTTGTCTTATTGTTAGTTCCCTTAAATATAATCATCTAAACAGGGAATCAGTCACTTTCGTTCTCACTGTGTTGACCGGAAGGCTTTTCTTTTTATAATAAGAAAATCATCAATCCAACCATTTATCAGAAAAAAAACTAACAAAGAATCAAAGATCAAATTCAATAGAAAACCCATTCTATAAAGCGCTTGATATAGTTACAAATAGTTCCTAGACTTAAATATTTCCTAGAAAATTAACCTACCTGTAATAGTGTAGCAAATTCAACCTTTACTTTTGGGCGATTATAACCTTGAGGACGTTTACGTGATTCAAAGACTGATCGTTTAAACACAATGGAAGAAAGCTGTGTGTAAAAATAAACAAAAACGGTATCTCTTTTTTGAATATGATTTAAACAAAATAAGAATTTTAATGAAGTAAAGATTATAAAACATAGTACCACATAAATCATTTTCTAAACTATTATAATTAAAGTTTATTAGATTATCATTTGATTAACACAGTTCATTGGGTCAGTTTAATTACTTGTATGATTGAATAAATCAAACAACCCAAATTAAATCAGTACTACTCTAAGTTTAAATTACTTGTTTTCATCCATGTACAATAATACGATGTTTTCAAATACCTAAAATGTCAACAATAAAAAATAGTTTTACACACATGAAAAGAAATACACAGTGTTCTTTCACCTTTTTGATCCACTCTTTATAGCATTACATTTACCAGCGTCTAAAACCGCATAATTCTGTACTGAATTTTCTAATTTAATCTACCAAAATCATGATAAATTAATTCTGATATTCACATCCATTCTATTGTCATGAGAGCTAACATCTATTTTTTATGCACGTAAAATAAGCCCTACTGCCATTAGCCAGATTAAAATTTTAGTAGCCTATCTAAGGGTAGTCCCTGGACCACTTTATTAAACTTATATAAAGACTTGAATAAATTATATTTTCATTTATTCTTCTTTTATACTGCCCGATTACTGTTTTTTGTTAAACAAACGAATGACATTCGTTCACTCTAATCATTTAGGCAAACTGACTTCATCATCGAATACACAGAAACATTAAAGTAATCAAATTCTACCGCGTACGGATAATTTTTTAATCATGAAACTTTACTAATACGATAAAGTTAGTATGAAGAATACTAGAGACTTGAATAAATTTGTGATGACTCCATAATTATGTTTTTACAATACAGTTATGTTTTCGAAGTTCCAAAATGTATTACCATAAGTATATCATTGAAAGAGTTATTCCTCTGTTGGGTTTATAAATCAGCCATGTTCTGGCAACGCGTTTAATTGTTTTTTATGAAAAATTTGTCTAATTTAAGATGTCTATCAAAAATGCATATGGATCTAGGATATTTTGAACAGATATTTTGTTTGACCATGTAACTCCTTGACAGTAAGGAATTATCATGCCATCATAGTGTAGTGAAGGAGAACCCAGGTGAGGGCAACCGAATTGTATTTATCGCAAATTACAGAGTTAATCAGTAAAATAGGAAAACCATATCTTAACCGTTAATTTGCAAATCTTCAATCCAATTTCTAACATTTCACTATTCATGCGTTTTATACAAATTCCATTGTGTTCCCACTCTTCCTTTCTTGATCTTCCCCCATCTTCTGCTGCCAGATATTACGTTTACACTCGCGTCATGTACTACTTATAAGTAACGCGCACCACAATAGGACCACATCCATAAATTTAGAGCAAATCGGAAGGCTAGAATCCCACAGTTTCCATTTGAAGTCATCATTAAATCACACTGACCAGCAGGTGTTTTAATATTTTCAGTCGTTCATAATATAATAGTTACTTTGATACTTTTTTGAAGGATGACATGTTGAGGGATTTATCACCTGAAAGGTAGAACATTTTTCCAAGATATCCATTGTTTTATTAGGCAGTGCAATTATTCTAACTGTCAGCTAACAATGTACCTGATTAACGTAACTTTTTTAGAACAGAATAATCGAAACTTAAGCTCTTTTTATTTGATATCAGAAAAAGGAAATTAGCATTCAGCGAATTTTAAAAAAAAAACATACATTTCTACCAAGTTAAAACCATCATTATATCAATGAAATGGTATATTGGCACAAGTTCGGGATTCCTATACTAACTATACGTTTGTTCATGAGCACAAGTGACTGTAAAATTGCTTATTTTCAAGGTCGAGTTTCTGATAGAGTAGTAAACTACAAAAAAATGAGTTGATGGTCAATTTTTTTTGAATTTTTGAACTATAAAAAAATTTTTAGGATAGACAAAAGTGCGTAAATTTTTAAAAAGATGGGGGATTTAAAAACATCTTGAACAGCTAGCTGGTTTAAGAATCTTTAAAGTAGTTCACAAGGTAAATACAATACATACAGTGAGACAAATAGAATCAAAACAATTGTTCAAAGTGTCTGAAGACATAAAATGTTTTGAGACTATTTCTTCACTTTGTAGTACATTTGATGTTAGTAATAAGGGTGAAAAATATTATGGTATGTTTACATACTTCAATAGCGGCTACATGAAATATAGTAGTAGATGCGTTTGATACTAAGCTTTTCTCCTGATTTCGTAATTGAAGCAGTTCAGCAAAATCAACCAGTGATTTCCTTGCAAGGGCCTGTTTGGTTGAAAACAGAGGCAAATATTGTCAACATTCAAATAGTATCATTTTATTATTTTGATGTATATATATATACATATATATATATATATATATATGTATATAGGACAGATATACATTAAGTAAACCCGTTACTTTTGAGGAATGGTATAGGAATATTTATACAGTTCAGAAAATCATTTATCTTTTTGCATGTATTATAATTTTCGGTATAACTATCTACACATGATTCATAATCTTCGATCATATGAAAATGAAACCACCTGATGAATAATACACTACGTTTGTAAATTTTAAGAACTTCTTAGCATTCTATGTATTTACGATTACCTTGAATGGCTGATAGTAAATTTCACATGACCTTTATTTGAATTTTGTTGTTCAATAAACATGCAAAGAATTGTATTGTCATTTTTGTCCAAACTTTCTAGATGTCTACTCTGTTTTTATCAATACTGCAAAGTTTGCTCATGTTTCTGACTCAATTTATAATAACCAAGAAGTCTGAATTATTTTCATTTCTTCATCACTTGCTTTCAGTTACGATATCTAAAGTGGAGTTTGACTTTGTGACACACAAATTTATGGGCCAATAATGGCATCTCTGACCAACAACCTTATTACACCGTAAAACCTGTGATGTATGAGCTTTTCTATTATTTGTTCAGATGATTTTACTTCTGCTCTTCCTATCACTCTCAACATAAACTTTTAAAGTTCTCAGGAATCTAGTTTTAATGCCCAGCATCACCTTCTGGCTGCTTCAGTCGACACTAGCTATTTTTGTACTCAAGTCATTAAGTTTTATTTTCTGGTAATTACATCAAACACAATAGTTTAATCCAGCTAACCAAAGGAAAACAACACTGTAGCATGACCAAAGCTTTTTCCTGCCAAGTATCTGGCTCACTATACCATCGAAAGTGTTTGCCTATTTTGCTGACATTCGACATTTTGTTTTAATTTCGAAAACCGCCTGACGATTTAGCATAGATTCTTTGTTCTGTCAAAATATTTTGGGATTTTCATGCTCAGATTTCACTTATTTTGAGTAAGTTCTTGTCCAAATAGTTGTATGCAATTAATTCGTGTGTTCGAAACTGCTACCAGTATTCGCACGCAAGCTCGTCTATTGCTATAAAAGTACAATTTAAATGAAACCTATGACCACCAACTTTTCTCTACATTCACTATTACTAAGATCAATTCAGTATTAATATAAACACCAGATAATCGTGGCTTAATAAATAATGACGAGCATGAAAAAAGAGATACATCACGAATCATTTATCCTCCTCCTAAGTTCGGTTATTACGTGAATTATCTTCTGTACTCCGTCAGTTAGCCAGATTAGACCAAACCTTTCTCAACATCCACTCTATACTTTTGATATCCCTCATTGCTTACTACTGGTTTGAGTGCATTTCGGTATTGTTGAATAGAAAGATGTTTCAGGAAATCATGCCGTCAAGTTTTAAATACCCGTGATACCTTCAAATTTACCATAAAACTAGTGACTGGCAAGATAACTTAAACCTTACAATAAAATTTATATGAAAAAGTTAAATCTGAGAAATCAGAACTGCAATGGATTTTCAAACTCAAATAACTAGCCACCTTCAAAATGGCAGATTTGGTTGACTGAAGATTTATATCCTTCTATTATTTATTTACAAATCTATTTAACCCAAAATGGTTTTAAACACTCAATGTTACATAAAAACAATATATATACGCAAAACATACTTCCGATGCTTCACCGTGACCACAATAGCAAAGCAGTTTGCTAGCAATAACTGAAATATGAAGTTTCAGGTCAATAAGATGTATTGAATTGCATGGCAAACATTTTGATGTAAAACAGTACATCCAAATTAATTGAGATGACATTATATTAGAATAGCTATTCGGTTTGAAGTTATGAATTAATTTCAAAACGTTGACTAAGTCTTAAACGAAACATGTTACGAAAACGTAGTCAGCTACCGATCATTATTAAGTTAGTATCATCCGTACAGCTTGCCATATTCAAAAGAAATTCATGTTGCTGATCAAAAACAGAGCGGCAAAAGCTTTTTAATTTAGTGTCATATTCATATTCTGATACAAAATATTCTAATGTTCTAATCAAAATTACATGATCAATGACCTGAAACAAACATAACAGATTAAGAAACAAATTACCTTTATAAAAACCTTAAAATGATCTCTTTTTGCATCGTTGGAAAGAAGTGGATTGTTGATAAATGAATTATTCGTAACCATTTTTAAGCGAAACAAAAATATTACCAATTCCGGTAGGCAGATCTCATAATATAGTTGAGTTTTGATATTTTCTTACCTCTCTATACTTGAAAAGGAAGTTACAACTTTTATTTATCCAACATCGCAGTTCAACTGAACTTAAAGATTGATAAATACTCTTAAGACAGCAGCAACTGTATAATATTACATCTTAATAAATTGAACATACATTTCTGTGTCAGAAAAACCCAAGAATTCTTTACTTATAAGCTTTTTGTCTTCGAGCATATTAAAAGTACAAACGAAAAGTGAGAACGCTGAACCAAACAAGGCGGTGATACGTTGTCATAACCCTCCAATATCCAATATCTTCTAATATATCCACTATCTTTATCATAAGCTAGTAAAAATCAGCTGAGATCTTCGCGCTTGATTCTCTTCCTTTCGGTATGCTTCTAGGTATTTGGTAATTTCCAGTGGGCGGTAGTCGAGCCACTCGACCGCACTAATTCTAGCCGGTTGTCAGTTATTCATGAGTTTGTATATCCCGTGGTTTGCATGAGTGCATTTATCTCTTTGTTTGGATTTGTTCCTTGATGAACCAAGTGATGAGAAAAACCACGAACTGCCTATATGGCAACGTAAGAGTGCTAAGTGGAGAGCTGTTAGAAACCAGGCACATTTACCTTAAGATGGGTTTGAAGATCACAATCTTAACTGAAACACGGCTACCAACCAACCATTGCGGAAGACGAAATGAGCTTCCCAGGCTTAACACTCTTTCGAGGCAATAGGATAAACCAGACATGAAGGTGGATGACTATATATATTAACAGTCATTTCAAAGCTGAAAGACTACATGGCACTCAACTAATTGAGGTTATGGAGTAATGTTGGTGCTGTTCCCGCACAAAGAGCAAGAAATGTTTGATTACGGGGATTTACCGGCCCCCGCCAGGTACTAAGGCCCATAAAGATAAACCTGCTAAGGCGATAGCGCAACTGCTACTCCTTCGGTTTGATCAAATACACTTAACAGGAGATTTCAAACCTTCATCTCTAATTCTCAGTAAAACAAAGTAATGCTACCACTGGTTGGTTCCAAAGACGATCTCGCGCTGTTATTATAGGTTACTGGATAACTGAGAATGTATGTAGCGCCACCAGATGAACTAAGGATGGAAAATACCTAAACTTCGATTATTTGATAACAAACGATTAGCTTCTGGTCGAGGATGATCACGTCCATGCACCAGTAGTAATTACGCCTGACCTAATACTGAGAAAATAAAACTCCTTGAGTTCCAGAAAGTCACCAGGATGCCACAATATTCGCCCCATCGCTCTGAAATATTGTTCGGACGCCCTCAGTCCACCGATATATGACCTGAATTCACACCAACTCAAAGCTGACTAGATACAAGCTACTCTCTCTCCAATCTTGACTTGGCAGAAGCCTTCGACACAGTACACCATGCACTCCTAATTATGAAGGTTTCGGAATTGGACTTCACTAATGCCCTTCTATTTTATCCCAGAAACTACCTTGACAATAGAAATGTTTGCATCGACGTGAAAATAGTGTAGGTGAGTTGACAAGTCTCACTATCGAGTGTTTCAAAGGGAACCATCTTAGGTTCCCTTCTCCTCCTGGTATTCATTGCCTATCTGTTAGAAAATGTTAGCTCGGCAGCATCGATCTATGCATACATGCAAAGATCTGGAGATCCATTAGTAGCAAAGAGGATTCGACTGAACTTCAAAAAGACATTACATCTTCTGGGAAATGGGAAATGTAAAACGAATTAATGCTAAACCAGTCAAAAGGTCACGTTATACACATTTTGCCCCACATGATGCAACTGACGTACACCCTAAATAGAAGTCCGCTCCATAATGTTTCCTCAAAGCGCGATATAGGTTTGATAACCACTCAAAGCCTTGACAACAGTACGAACTTTGTCGATGACGCAGCCAAGGTTAATGAAGCTCTTCAGTTTATTCGAAAATAACTTGTTGCTATCACTCAAAACTTAATCTTAACCGTGTTTAAGACATTTACGCTCCCTCACCTTGAGGTCCACAACGTCGTTGCACCCCATCTCCTTTGTAGATAGATAAATTCTCTAGATATAGTGCAGAGACGAGTGACGAAATAGATAGCTTTGAAGAATAAAACTTACGACGATAGAATCCAGCTCTTTGGGTTTATTCTCCTTGAGTTACAGGAGACTTTTCTCGCTATTGTTCTCCCCACTGCAAATAACTGATCTCGAGCTTGGCAACGTGATAACTGCAGGTATTGAGAGCTTATGCTGCCCTGAGATTAATGTACTCATACAAACCGTGGGATATACAAAATCATAAATTACTTACAACCGACTACCACCAATCGGAAATTACCAAATACCTAGAATCATGCTGAAAAGACCAGAATCGAGCTCAAAGATATCAGCTGATTTATATTTTTTTTGGAAAAATATTAGATGTTGAGACCGGCTCACACTAGCTCGTGAATAAGATATTGAATATTGGCCAAATCCTATTGTTGTCATGGCGACATTCGAGTATATTTTAAACTCTCAGGATGTCCAGAAGCTCCTCTGAAGAACGTGTTAAGTCGCAAAAGTGCCCGTATGAAGTTTACAGATCCGTTGGAGATGCATTTTTGATGAAGAGGATGTACCAGAAAGCTATAATGGCTTATGATCAGGTATATAAAACAGGTGTTTTTGATTTCAAATAGGCCCTAGAGAGAAAATTAAACGATAGACATTGCCTACTCAGAAGATCTTCTTGTTATTTGGCACTTGGAAATTTGAGTAACGCCTTAATCGATACAGATGTTGCTCTTCTAGAAGACCCGAAATATTATAAGGTTCCTACATAAAATTTTTGAGTTTATAGATTATTTAGTCCCTTTATTTGAAGGGACAAATACTTTATAATAAAGGTGATTTCGAACATGCTCTTGTTTACTTTCACCTTGGACAGCAACAAAGGCCGGAATTACAAATGTTTCGACTGGGGATACAGAAGTGTGAGGAAGCCGTTAGAAACTCTTTGACAAGTAAATTTATAGTTTCTTTCACAATTCCATTTCTCGGTTGTTAAAATTCAGAATACGGTTGCCAAACTTATTTAAACTTTTCGGTTCATTTAATCAAATTTTTCCCGTAGTTGCAGAAGAACCTCGTTAAATTATTTCACACTTGGGACATTTGCACTTACAAAATTTCGTCGACTGTTTAATATCATAGTGGAAAATAAAAGCATTTGTGAGTATTGAAAAGGTACCATTATGGGGGTCTTAATTTCTCGGAGTTGGTTTTCATCTAATCTATTTTCCTTAATATTTTTGATTCCTTCAATAGCACTAGAAATCATAAACATAGACTACAAGATTAGACTTGGTGTTAATGTTACCATATTTAGGTGTTGAAAGTACAGTGAACAGATGATGATGAATAGTGTTGTGCTACTTAAGGTTTAAAGTGAATTATGATTAAAACACTTGTTACGATTGCTGGTGCAAATCTGTTTTTCAACGAAAGTATGTTTTGAATCTTCATTAGAATGATTTGCATGTGCAAAACCAATTGTTTCCGGGCTTTGTTCTGGTTTAAAAATGGTTTGAAACTCTTCAAGTGTATTAACAAGGAATGTCATCAATCGAATCTTCGCCATTGCCAAATATGGAAAAACATCAACATACATTAAATTTATCCAAGTTTGAAATGCTTTTGGGTGGATATTAACTTTTTAATCCAAGTATGTCAAGCTAATTAGCTCCAAATATGATGAAATGCGCCGCTTGGATTTCGCTTCTGAATACATTCTGTCTAGTCCATTATTTTGGATGTCAAAACTAGACTGCAGATGTTATCAGTTACTTAATATTTCACCAAAAATTTGAACCTAACATGTTTTTACATATCTGACCCATAATTTTGGTCAAACTGCTTTTTAGACATTAAGAACACTCATAGAAATATTATCACATTGTTCAGTTAATATCTTTGCTCAGCCTCAAATGACGTTTTGACAGAGTTAAAAAAACATTGGATTTGAGATGTGAGCATAGTCTTTTGGGATCACGCACTAAGTTAACGACAATATACAGTCCGGAATCTTATCCACGTGCAATCTAAATTATAAACTCAAGCATATGGATCTAGTGTTTTGCATCAGAACTTTCTTAGAAGTTGTAGCGAGATTATATTTAATAAAAACTTTTTCAAGTAATTGGTAACTTGTATACTAACAAAAGTTACGTCAATTATCACTACTTGTTGGGGTTAAGTTAAGTTTATTTCGTCCATCGCATAAAGTATCAACTAAGTTAAAATCACCGACATGATGACTTAAATTACTAAATCATGTTTTGAATAAAAAACTAAAATGATAATATTTATTTTGCTTTCATCGAAAATAAAATAGGATGCCATTTATTTGTGTTCCTTAAACTTTGCTCTCTCTTTTCTTTAACTGCAGGTAATAATAAAATTAGAATTAGTAGTGAAGGTGCGAGAGGATTCGCCAAACAAATGGATGATGTAGGTCTTTATTAGAATAACGTCAAAGTCTATAACCGTTCATTTGACTACGTGTGAGCTACCATTATAATCAATCAATTTAGGTCAAAACTATGCTTGTTTAGTTGGTAGACATCTCTAACAGTATACTGGTTTGTAGACTCAACCACTTAATTTCATAATTTCTGTGCTGTCCAACTAAGTAGAGTGATAAATTAATAAAATCTTCAAAACTCCTCATCTACAATAAAACAACATGGATCAAAAAATATTCATCAGAAACTTGGTTGTCAGACGGCAAGGAATTAGCTATTAGCTGGGTTCGAGGTTAGGAAAGTCATTAGCAGTAGCTAGGATTTCCAATAATTAAATTATAAATAATTAAAATTTGATGTAAAATACTGTTTCAGATCCATTGATTCTAACTGAATCAAGTTTTACCCAAGATTACTTCTGCACAAAAAATATCTTGTTTTTTACAGGGAGCAACAGCATTAGTCAGGTGACCTACTGCTTACTCTAACTTAATCCAATGAAATAATAAAAATTTACGAAATACGGAGGGAAACTTTAGTTTTGAGGCAGAATGACAATCCTCATTTTGAGAATATTTAGATCTCAGTACATTTAATAGGCATGATAGTCTAAATTAACAAATGCTAAAAATGAATTAGAAAAAAATAGTGCTTTTACACTCATCTTTTCTTGTCCGCGATTTCAGCTGAATTATAGATGTGTTCTTTGAAATTCTTTATACAGGAAGAAAAAGCCCAAGTAAAGTTGACTAAAGTTAAAGTTTCTATTTAGATCGTTCGTTTGTTTTGTTATTTTTGTTGTTATATTATAATTCACTGTGTCTATGATGAACTCGTATTTTTATTGTTTGTGTTACTGTTCCAATCTTAATTTTGATGATGTTATGTTGGTTAGTAGTACGTACTATATATGAATAAGGTTAGTTGAGACAGAAACCTTTTACTACAGTTCAGCGTTTAGCTGTTAGCATGAAACGTATATCAATCCTTGAAATCGCTCTCAAACACTAGATATTTGATTGAAAAAACATCTGAGAGCTGTTAGTACGCAGAAACAATAGGGAGTAAACAAGAAAGCTGGTTGTTCATACTACGCAGTGAGTAATATGAAGTTTGGTGGTATAATTTTTTGAACCTGTGTGTAATGAGTCAGACTACACTTATGGCCGATTCAGCTCCTAAGTAAACAAACTTGTCATTCAGTATTTTGGTAACACAATCGACTAAGAAATCAAGTTTTTTCATCTGATCATGCTGTTTAGTTATAACGGTGTAAGTGATAAAGCGTTGTGATCCTATGCAGGATAAACATATTAATATCAGTTAGATCAAAATGTCTCTGAAGCCTTTTTGTGGGTCTGTTGAATGTCGTCGAACTACGAATTCAATGCCGACAGATGGTGTTCATTGGATTTTGTTCGCTGTTAGAAGTTTTTCAACCACTTGACGCGTAACTCCTGCACGCTTATTTGGTTCATGATTATTTTCCAACTCTGTTGATATGATGGGACTAAATGCTCAGCTAGTTTGTAAATATAGTTTCGAAAAGACTATTCCTATTTATCAGCACTCACGACTTAGTAATAGCGTTACCACTCATACTCAGAACAAATGTAGCTTTGTCTTATCCTAGGACCTCGTACTTCGTAAATCAGCCACTTTATTTTTTACTATTACTGGCTCTTGTGTTGTATGAGCCAGGAATTAGTGTTAATCTACATTTCTTTAAGCTTTAGTCTGATTTACGTTGTAGATTATGTTTCCCGAATCTTTAACGGTTTCTGTGTTGATGCTTGTTGTTCAACAACAAATAATCACTCCTATCTACCTCGTTCATTTCGGACATGATTCTACCATAGTATACATATTCCTTGCATGTTCATCTTTCTAATTCCATCTAGATGTGCTGATATGGTACGAGAACTTGTTGTGATGTGTTATATAGTTAATTACCGTTACTTGATTATCAATCTTAACATAATTTCCATTTGAATAATTTTTGGTGTACACCGATCCGATGTCATTCATTTAATAGCATCAGATCATACTACTAATGAGTAGTGCCAATTTATTGCACAGGTTTCATTATTCCATTTGGAACTCTTAATTTTTCTGTTTGTTCTTAAAATCAAATTTTGGTATGTTTAGGCTTCACTAATTTGAACATAAGCGCGTAACTTAATTATTCTTTATAATAATCAGAACCCTGAAAATACGATTTAATACTAAGACAACCCAAATAGTCAAATACAATGGGATCTAGTCTGATTAGCTTCGAAGTAAAGTGCAAAGGGTTGATGAAAACATCCTCCAAACCTTCATTTGATCAAAGGACAACATTTTAACTAAAAGTAAACCAATTATATTTCATTTTTTGTTCAAAAAAATTTCAGAAAGCTAAATCGCGTCAAATAAGCCAAAAACCCAAAAAGCTAACTAGTGAGCCTTCTGTTGGAGATGGCGATCGACATGCTCCCATCAGTTCCGTTCCGAAAAATGTGTCTAAAATGATGTTTGGTCCATTACATGTAGATCATGAATATCTGGAAGATTTGTTAAAGCAGGAGTGTAAGCAAAACCATTATAAAAATATATATATATATCAGTGTCTTGAATTTTATTATATCGTCCCTCTTAAACTACGATAAGTATCATACAAACCTAGAAACGACTTATTCCTGTTGTTAATGCTCACTTGGGAATGATGAAATCGAAAGAAAATCTAGACAAGCAACTCAAAATATTGGATCAACCCATAGATTTATTAAGTATTAAGTTGTGTTAGTGAGCAACTAGAGACTCTGTAGATTATCGTGACCCATGGTTGAGGATATTAAATAACATGGCCATTAATCAGTCACAGTGTCTTACATGTGTTCATCTATCTATCTGTAAACACGAAGTTTAGTATCATTGCATATTTTAAGTTCCACGATATTATTCACTTGTTTTTTTTCACCGTACTTCCAATGTTAATTTGCTATCTTGGGAAACATTATTGATTTAATTAATGCTAACACATATTTTTCTGTTTATGTTGTGACGGTGTCAATTGTGGTAACTTAAACCAGAACTTGTTGAAATCAAGGTTTATATTACTATCTATGGCTGACTAACTTAATGTTAGGTAGTAAGTTCATTGTTTCTATTCGAATCCCTCTTTAGTCACCAGGTATTTAATAATCTATGCTATCTATTACTTCCGAATTATTTACGACAGAAGTAAGGAATTTTAAGGTTATTAATTTTTGCTGTGAAATTTTAAAACGGCGTCGCATATATAGGCAATAAACTATTTATTTATTCTCATTTCTGACATGGTCTATTAAATTTCTAATATGTTTAATTAATTAATGAATTCGATCATCCGTTCATCTTTATCTACTTCAACACAAAACATGTATTTTTACGAAAAAATAATACATTTTCAGCTGAACAAAAATTGAACACATTATATGCTGAAGAAGTACGTAATCTAGCACGTAACGGTATTTTTTATTTGGATGAACGATCTAAATTTTGGCATCAACAAAATCCTGTTTATGCTCGAGCGAAACATATAAAATATAGGCCACGTTGTCAGCTTTCTGCAAAAGAAAACCATCCTGAAGTTGAAGCAGTATTGAATGAGCTGAATCATATTGATAAGTGTAAGTTTTCATTATTTCTTATAAACAAAGTATGCTCTCCTATGTATGAGAAAATTATTATCTCTTTTAATGCAAACACTTATCAATAGAATGTTGTCATTGATGTTTCAAATTTAAATAATGTTCTAAAAGTATGAGGAGAGTGTTTAAGGTAAATAAAATCAAAGTGCATATATATATATATATATATATATATATATATATATATATCCATACATCCATTTCAGCACTCATAATTTCTATTTTTGAGTAGAATCAATAGACAGAGGCTTTTATATACCTAACATTGTATGAATAATATGATTGTTTATCTTCCAGCTCTGTTATATATTTCATATTATTAAACTGAATCAGTTATGAGTATTTATATGCATGCTCTAACGAATAACAACTGCAGATCTGTTCAATTAGCTGAAATAGAATGAATATAAAATGTTGCTTATGCGTAGTGATGTGTCCTATCAGTCGTCTGCAACCTGGACTAGTAAAATTAATTAAACTTTTCAAAATAGTTTCAACACTCTGGAAGTGAGAAATTTCAAAAAATCTCCATAAATTAACAATTACCATTGTTAATTGAATTCTGTACATCAAGCTATAATGATAACAATAAAAATAATTCAAGAATTTAATCTAAATTTGGTGTTTTATAAAATATTTTTTAATTCAGCCGTAAGGTTTTATGTCTTCATGCAAGTTTTAAAATGCTTTAACATAATTTATGCATCAATAAGACTGATAAATTTTGTCGAAGGATCCAATACCTTGTAACCAGTAGTTAGGCATTATTCTTTGATTAAAAATTAATCAACTTCAATCAATGCACGACAAATGACGATTATTATTCAATGCCTTTAACAGGCTCTTGTTTTTACCTATAATGTATTTAGCTACCTAGGAATCTTTTCTCAAAACTTGGAGTGATTTATTATTAATATGTTAATATTGAACATTCTACTTAGTCAGCATTAAAGTGTAATAACCTCAAGGATGAAATCCCCAGGAAGAATTCATTTCTGCTTGTTCATCATGTACAGACTGAGTGAAGAAAAGGTTTCAAATAATATTAAAACAAAAAAATATCAGAATTATTAACACTAACTGTAAATATCTGATTTTCATTATGTGACAAATTTGTCTGGTTTAAATAAACTTTCTATCTAGTGCAACGTGAGGATCAACATGAATCCGCTGTGAAACATGCTGAGGATTTACTTGAAGAAGTCAAAACATGGGATTCATCACAGATTTTAAATTTCGATGAAATTGTAGCTAATATTTTCTCAATGCTTGGATTATCGAATTTGGAATTAGGAAACTATGATGAATCATTGGAATATCATCAAGCTGCATATGAGCTTGGACAAGAAAACAATTTAACCGAAGTTGTTTCCTATTCAATGGATAATATGGGACGTGCTTATGCAAAGAAAGGAGATTATAAATCAGCTGTAAAAATGTATGTTTACTTATTAAAAAAAAATCCGCGATTCCTAACTGGTATACATTGTTAACTTGAGAAAGAAAACAGCATGTATAAAACTTACTCAATTGTTCACAGTAAAAAATCAATCTAAAAATGGAAGTCGCGTAGAAATCCTTAAAACATGAAGTTTTCTGTTGTATAAGATATATTTTGAGAATTTATTTTTTAAGTAAAACTGAATCGGTAAGAAATTGACATAATGCACTAATATTTTCTTGTAATCAAACAAAAATTGACTAGCATTGATTTCAACTCTCAAAGATGTAAATTTCCTTAAATGTACTTTTTTGCTCTTATTAGATAACAACAGTCTGTTTTTTTTACTTAATAGTACAAATCGGTACAAACATCGGAAATGATGAAAGTTTGACAATTCATTTTAAATGTAGCTAACAGAATTCGTCAATGTTTACTACATACTAAGCAGACATCTTGTATATAGTTATTCTGTTAAAAATCATTTTAATATCATCTAATCCATCTCGGTTTGAACAGGCGGATGAATATGCATAGTTATGAAATTACCTAAACCGAAATTCAATGTATTGTCTATAAAAACATTCAACCTTTTTTTTTCTTGCCTATAGAACAGATGATACTGTGAGTGAAAGTTATGTCTGGTCAATCAAACAAAACAGATTTGAGGTTTTTGGAAAATGTTCGAGTTTGTCATGCACATATACTGAGTGAAACTCTATCTTCTCACATACATCATACAGGATTATTTTAGAATTATGATGTAATATTAATGTGCAAAGATAATTTTCTTGTGGCGTTAAAAATAATGTATACTTAATTAGATAAATGAGGTGCCGTTTTTTTTCTTATTATTTAGAACTATGAAACCACAGTCATCCACCTGAGCTACAAGTTTTCTCCACCATTACTATGAAATTTGTACTTACTTACTTACTTTGCTTTGCTTTCATTCTTGTTTTTTTTTTAAATGAATAGATGGGAAGAAAAGCTTAAAAAATCAACAGATGAATTAGATACAATATGGCTTTATTATGAATTAGGTCGAAGTTATTTAGAATTGCATCAACCGAATAAATCATTTGATTATGGTGAAAAAGCATTACGTTTAGCTTGCACAATGAAGGATAAACTATGGCAAATGAATATTCACATTTTAATTGGACAGTCAAATTTTCTATTAAAAAAACGTGTTGAAGCTCAAGCATCTTTTAATACAGCTTATGAATTAGCTAAAGTCAGTGAATATATGTATATAATAGTTTTTTTTTAATATTTAATTATAATTTAATTTGATGTCATTCAATGTTTTTTATCCAAATATCAAATAGTCAAATGATACAGTAGTCAAAAAAGCATTTAATATTTAACTAATGTGTTGTATAGTACAACTTCATAATATATGTCTACAAGTCAATCTATCATGTATTATTATTGTTTTTCCTTATGTACACTTCTATTGATTGCATGGGTTCCACAAAATACATTCATCGGGGTCTGTTTCCAAGTTCTGTACATTTTGTTGGGCTTATCGACGTGAAAGCAAAATGTGATGAGAAGTAGTTGATCGATTCTCACAAAACTAATGTATAGCAGCTCTTCGAAAAGATAGATAGTCCACATTTGATCAAACAAAATGAATTCCTAATGCAAATTATTCCAAATGTGTTATGAATAGAAAGGATAAGGATAAATTTTCAATCTTGTTCAGGTTGCATAACTCTAGTAGACGTTATGAACAGAGATTATGTATATTACTGTTGTTACTCAAAATAATAGTCATAGCAAGCGTTTGCTAAATTCGCTGTCTTAAAACAGTTTAAATCCTCCGTTAAGTTTTAATGTTTCACATTACGTAAGGAAAGTTTTTTGATATTGATTGATATAAAAACTAAACAACAGTCAAACAAATAATTGGAAACTGATCAATAAATATGCACAGATTTACTAAAAATATGTAAAAAAAGGTTCTGATTTTGAAGTTGTTTATTTCATCTGGTGGCATGAAAACAATATCACTTTCATGAGCTATACAAATGTTTTGATTTCATCACAGAACCTTGCTCAAATCTCGCCAACCTGCTTTTGGATTTTAACAATCCTAATAACGAACCATTCAAGGACAGCGTTCATGAGTATTTTTTTTAACGAGTCATGTACACTACCTACTCTTGTCAGATAGTTTGCATTTAGTATATATAATTCCAAGATAGTGTTTATAATTAGATCACTGAATAAAAGCAGTTTTTGTAGTTAACAGCGATTATAATTAGTTTTAAAAATTAGTTTAATTTTTACTGATTTACGATGTTAAGTATAAATATGAGTATTGGATGAGTTTTGTTCATTGCAAAAAGTAGTTTCAGTAGCTAAAAATGTTTTGATAACAAAGGTTCGAGTCAGTGAAACAACTTGCTCCTACTTAAGTGTATGTTACCTAGTAAACCTTTTGACTGAATTATACAAGATGTGTAAAGGTAGTTATCACTAATAATTTGTGTGATATAATTCCAGATATTCGTTTGATTGTATATGTAGTTTATACCTTTATAGGACCATATAAAAATTGTCGAATTCGAAATATCAAATGACTGAATAAATTTAATTGAACAATTGTAGGCTGGGAAATCGGTCTGATAGATGTTGTCAAAACAATTGATTTACAAAGTATAAGTAATATCTCAAAGATTTTCCACTACATTCGAATATTTTTTAGCTCCAATCAATGAATAAGCATCTAAATATTTTCTTCCCTGTTTATTGTAATTTAAAAGGAACTTGAAGCTCATGATGCTGAAAAAGCAATATTAGGAGTAATTAATGAATTAGAAAGTACCTATCGGGAAATGGATACCTATACACAGGCGGAAAAGGACAGCAATCGACCAGAAGGTGAGAATAATTCTCTGACTTATTTTTTAAACATTCTAAAATACATAATTAGAAAATCAGCATGATAGTAAGTAACTTTAGCATAAATATCCTATCAAGAATCCCTATTCATCACAAATTAGGATTGTAAAGCTGGCAGTTATGTTCCACGATATTGAAGTAGATAAACAGTGAATATGCCTAATTTCACTCCATCAGAGATTAATTAAAAAACCAAGAAATAATTGAGGTATTAATAATGCTCCATACATTTCATAAATATAGCTAACTGCTATATTTTGTAATTCATCTGAAAACTGTATATGAACAGTAATAACACTCGAAATACCCGATTCAGTATTGTACGAAAATATATTTTAACCAAGAAGTGAACAACGTTCAGAATAAAAACATTCTAAAGTATTAACTCAGCTTTTGTTGTTCAGAATAAATGGATTATTCGTCAACTAATGATGTTATATTAAGAAATCAACAAAATTTGTGTATTCGTTAATTCCACTTCGAGCAGCTTTCTGAGTACACTACCATGAATTTTGAACTGAGGTTATTTTCGTGATATAAAATATATTTGAAAACTTAGTCTTGGCGAATATTTTTGGAAGATTGCTGACTTGCTCTTCCATCATTTGTTTAAGTGCACAACAATTACACAACAATTTTCTCTGAATGTAATACTCACTATAAGTCGTCATTTCAAATAAAATTATTTTGTTATTCCAGTCTTTCTGACATTCTACATAATGTAATAATGAACATGACCTAAATGTACTCTGCTTAATTGTATTGAAAGTGTATAATTCAATTGATAAGTTCATCCGTGTTTATTAGTTCATTCATAAGACTAAATTCTGTAGCGTCTTAATAATGTCATATGTGTTTCACGTGCTTGCTCACTTCGGAAATACTCTTGTTAAAATACTAAACTTCCAGTTAAAACAAAATGATCATAATGTCTGGAATACTTATCTTTATTTACAATCTTCAGATAATATAGACTGAGGTGTGTTCTGTCTACCATTTTTTTATTTTTATCATCTCAAATCACCAGTCGATAATCTTATGATAAACGTACGTTTTGTCACTTGACCTCAAAAATACTTCTACTGCAGCCAGCATGCAGAACTTCATAATTTTAAGTTCTTATTCTGCTTACTTATGAGTAGCTAGAGTATTAAAACAAAAAATTAAAACTTTGGTGAGTCTAGTTTTCAATCACTTAAAAATTGTCCTGAATGGTCATACTAGTATATTCTAAATATTCAGGCTTGAATTAAAATCATAAGGCCCTAAAATCTTTCTGCTTTCGTGTATGTGACAAGCATAACAGAGAAACAGGTTATAAAATAACTTAGACAGAATACTCTTTTGCACACAATCAGGTGACTAAACTATTCTGCATTTACTAATTCTTACGTTCGATAATATTACTCATGTCACTCACCCATCAGTTACAACGTAGAGCTTGGTACGTACGTACATAAGTTCAGATTTATATACAATTTGGCGGATGCTCCTGAGATCCATCGCTTCTCCCTAACCTTATGGTCTACCTTACTAGCAGACATCACTACTGTTTCCACAGCGTTTTGGATATCGTTTTGAAGCGCCTCGGAAAAGGAGTCACTTACACAGCCACCTAACATTTTATGAAATATATTCTTACCAATTCCACCATTAAACAGGACCTTATGATGTTTTCTTGCAGTGTATTTCCTACGTCCAATAAGCCACAAACGAATACGCTCTCGCACTAGAGCATGATCTGAATCTAAACATGTGCCTCAGAATGAGCGACAGTCTTCTAACGAACCCCTCTATCGGTGGCTGCAGATGCTGATCATCGGGGGGAAATACGTAACTGCTACCACAACCCCCTACAGTCAGCAGTACAACGTGTCCCTCAGATCTTGTGTTGCTGCTTATATTCTGACCGTTTTCCAATCGACCGTACTGGCTAGGTAGAACCTACAGAAACATGTGTTCCAGCCAATATAGCTTGGTTGGGTCATCACGATAGACAAACCTGACCAGCACGTCAAGGTAGCAGCTAAAGTGGAGATATTAAGCAAATATTTTTTACTAATAATGTAAACTATGGACTTTATGGACGTAATGAAAAAAGCAAACGATTTCAGAGAGGAACTAATTTTATAGTTATAGTTATATAGTTACAAGTCTGAGACAGTTCATACTAGTTGTTAAAATTTTCAGCGTAGCAGAGATTAAAACCTTGCAGATTGCTTTAATTGAAATTATATGTCGATCGATGTTAGACCACCATTAAAAGAAACCTAGAAGTACTAGACTTCCATTTAGGTCTAGTATGGGGCTAATCACCAGTGCACATCTGCGGTCCGTCTTTTATTGTGTTCTATTAGCACACTACTGATTTTAAATTATCTTATCTTCACCTCTAACCGCAATAATCTCTTATTTCACTGTACTGTAATCGTAAATTATGAGTATAGTTGTTTAACTGATTGTATACTAATTTTCATACATCTATTCTCCATTGAGAATTTGTATTTTATATTTGTGGCTTATTCAATCAGTTTGTTGTTCGGTTTATATGATAGGACATCTTTCAAATCAGTTGATATGGTTCAGTAGTGAATTTTATTTTTATATGATGAAAGCAGATATTTTTTGAAAACCATGGAACTATGAATCTACTCATGATAAGCAAAATAATGGTTCTCAAAATATTCGCTCTTAATATTCACATTGGGTATATATTTTAGGGGATAAAAAGCTGTCATAGATTTTGAAATAATTTCATGATTTTGTACAATGATGTTGAAACAAATAATTCAATATTTTCTTTTGTTTCACAATTAGATGCACTAATTTCACCTGGTCGAAAGAAAGCTCATTCGACTGGAGAGCTAGCCTCATGATTGCGCTATTGTGCTTCAATAACAATTTTTTTTTTCTACACAAAATCAACTCAACAGTCTAGATTTTTTTTTCATCTACAGAAATTATTTTTTCTCGTCATCATAATATGTTGTATTTTAATTGTTGTTAAAATAGTACTGTATTGTTTTTATAGAAGAAACATAAGAAAAAGTCGAGTTTATTTTCTTATTTGAATATCAAATTGAATATTACTTGTAGTTTATGCGTTCTTTTACTAACTTCTCTGTGCAATAGATAGACTATTATTGTTAATGTTATTTTTCATCTAGTTTATTATGAAGCATTTTTTTTAAAAAAAGAGATATTTGGTAGAGAGAGCAAAATTGTCGAATACATATCATCTGAAAGAAAAAGTCTGAAAGTATGAAGTAAATAGAGCGATTGTGTTGTGATTATTATCAGTAATTAAAACAAGAACACGGGCTCAAGTTTCATGGCGAGGAAATTAATTTAGTAACGAGTGAACACAATTTACGTGAATCACATGTTTAAAAATAATGAATTCGGTGTATTTAATATAATACAATTTGTGTTAAACCATGCGAAAAATACAACTAATCATTGAAATCCAAGAGGATTTCTAGTATGGTAGTCTATATCAAATAAAATTTGAAGTAAAAAATGAAATAAAATATTTATTCATTGTTAAGAATTTTAATTTAATTAGCTGTAATATTGATAATTCAGTTCTGACTAATGTAACTTAATTTTGATCACCCTAATTTGGCGTACGTAAATTCTGTTTGGATTGCCTCAACAGAGCCATTACTTCACAAGTTCACATTGAATAAACAGAATGTAGCTAGTAGTAGAATCCATGATGCATGTCTTTTTACTATTAAGAACTCTTCACTAGGATGTATTTACGTGCATCCCATTGTTGGTGGTCACTGTGCCACCCTACGTTGCTGACGGTGTCTGGCCAACAGGTCTTGAATACCTTCCATAAACAACTGTTGACAAGTAACCTTTTCTTTTGAAAGATGGTTTTGATAGTTTTCCAAGTTTGAGCTCAATTCAATAGAACTATCTTGACAATTGTATTGAAAATTTTGACTTTGACGTTAGCTGATAGTCATTTTGGGTTCCAGATAGTTTTCAGTTGTGGAAATGCTGCACACGCTATTCAAACCCGTAAGTTTACATCTGCATCAGATTCATTTCGTTTATCACTGATGCTGCCTAGATATGTCAAGGTTCCTACATCTTCCAAAACTTCATCTTCTATTATGATTTGGTTGGTTCATTCTGAATCTTTGAAGAATCTTACTTTTCCCATTGTGGATATTAAGGCCAACCGTTTCAGAGGCTGCTCCTACACTGGTGGTCTTCTGCATCTGTTGCTGTGTGAAGTTCAAGGACTAAGTGATTTGTGAAGTCCAAAGCACGTAGCTGCATCCAAGCAATCATTTGTATCTATTGTTCCCCCCTAAGATGCTGAAGTCGTCATAATCCACACAACCACCAGAAGAAGGTGAAACGGTGAGAGTAAGCAGCCTTGTCTGACACCGATCTTCACTTGGAAAGAATCTGTAAGCTATCCTCCATGGCAGGATTTCGCGGTATAGTCCCTCGTAAGAATTCCCAAACCTTTCCGAAAGAGCGTGGAGCATTTCTGAATTTTTTTCTATATTTGACTTCAGTCCCTCAGCTGAAATGTTGTCTGGTCCTTCTGCTTCGCCACTCCTGATGTGTCTGGTGGCTATGAATATTTCTTCCATTTTTAGTGGCGTAACATATGTAGAAAGGTCTTTTAGTACCACTTCATTGTTGGGTGGGTTCAGTGGAGCTGCTATCCATCGATGTCTACTTGCTATTCCTTTCCTAATTTTTTCCGGGGTATAAACAGAGATCCTGCAAGATGTTTTTTCTACAACCGGCTGGTCGTATTATGTTGAAGTTATCACTCTTATTCCATTTCCATTTGTTCTTCTTAGCATTTTTCTCTTCTCTCAGTCGATCTTTTGACTTCGAACTTATTGACAATAGATGTCTTGAATTTAGTGAGTTTGTTAGTACATCGAAGGAAGACTGCTTTAAACTTTTGTAACAACTTGTCTAGTTGACCAGTGCTTCTCAACTTTTTACTGCAGCCTTTCATAAAGCTGATCTTTATCGTTTACATTGCTATCATTAGTGGGCACAAAGCAGTGGATAATATTCATTGTAATCTCGTCCCTCTCTATTTTTAGGAAAAATGGTTAGTGCATGAGATACCCACCCATCTTGCACGTGCTTGCAGAGCTTCTTCGGGCAGCATCAGTAAGATTGCTCTTATGTATGAGGTTTTTTTCTTCATCATAAACAGAGTTCAATAGCATCTCCTCTGTCCAATTACGGTGTACTGAAATATTTAAAAATGCTAGTTAACAGGAAATAATAAAGTTAGTAATCATCTGTAAAATATGCATGTTTTAAATCCAAATATTCTAAAAGTATAGCTTCGTAAATGGTGTAAATACTGACTAATTTCAGTGTTATCGTCTTTTGTTGATGATTTTAACTTACGTATTCTACAAAGCGATCTCTAACCACTGATATAAATCCAGCTTAATATGTAAAAAAAGAGACTCAGCTTCCTTGCCTGCGTAAATTTCATTTGAAACCGAAACATAACAGTTATATACGCTGACAGTATTCAAAAATGTATGGAGAATGATAGACGTGCTTTATCCTAGTTTGAGATTTTTCAGCAGCGGACATCCGCGACCCTAATATGATTTGTTTAAATCGATAAGCTCGACTCCAATTGTCTCAATGTTCAACTTTAGTCGGTTTAGGTTGATTGATGAGATGTTTAGTAGTTATGACTTGGTGAGTTAATCATCATTAGGTAAATAAATGGAATCATTTTCGCATACATTTTACTAAAAATTACAACTTCATCAACATAAACTTCAAACTTGATATTCACAAGCATTTGTTAAATGTTAAAGACATTTCATCGTTCATCATTTATTCACGCATTAGGAGTCAAACCGCTTGTAAATTTTTGCCTCCCTCTTTAAAACATGGTTTACATTTGAAGAAGTTTTGTCTTGAATCCCAACATTTAACCGATTAAACTAAAATTAAACTTGAAAATCATGAACAAACTGAAAATGTTCTAATAAGCATTACAGTACTTCAGAAAAAATCTTACTAAAGTCATTTAAATGAGAACTTAACGGCTCAAAATATGCACTAAATTTCAATAAGTACACCTTGTGTCTATACTAAAAAGAGAATATATTACATTATTTTCTTACAAGTTTTATCTCATTGAGATGTGATTGTATGACTCAGTAGTGAAAAAAATTTGTTCATTTAACTTGGTTGATACCACTTTGTCTGAGTTAAAGAAACATTACAGTTTCAATGTTTGACATACTAAATGATTTCAAAAGCTTCCGAGGGATTTTTTTGTTCATTAATGTCATCATTCATTTAAAACTTGAATAATTAAAACAAAATATGTGCTCAGTTTTCAAACTTGTTTCTATCTACTAAGTTCACATAAATATGGTTTAGTGTAGGTGGCTGTTTTTAGCAATAAGCTATTCGTTTTAATGAACATTACGAATGTTGATGCATCATTCAAAACTTACACAGCTTTAACTTATAAATCATTTAATTTATAGGGCCTAACGTTGTTCACAATACTGAATTGTATTCGTTTCACTAAGAATACATTTTCTTTATAGTTTTTTTTCTTTTTGAAATGATAATAAGCATTTTTTTATGCTTAAAAGCAATTACTGTTTACACATTTATTGAGTAGTTGAAGATTTGAATAATTTTGCTATAAATAATGATTCGTTTCAGTAAACTATGCTTAATAAATGTGAAATGACTAATTGAAACGGTTAACTTTGAAACTATTTACATACATATATTAAAATAATTTTGTCCGAATAGGTCTAATATGATCTAGGCACTAAATATACTACTTTTATTTATCATTTCACTTGTACATAAAAAACATTTAAATTGTATTTATTAATTCAGAAAATAAACAATTTCAACTTCGTCGTAGAAAACTTGATGAGACGACTTATCATTCTCTTGATCATGTATTCCTCCAATATTCTTTCATGCATCCATTTTTTTTACTGTCTTCTTGAATTGTATTCCTGATGCTCAGTTTTTCCTAGAACACTAGTTCGCCTAATTATTTTTTATCTTGTCTTGCTAATGTGTCACGGCAACTTGAACCAACGGACATATGTGTCAGGCTCAAAGTGAATGATGTTTGACTTATTGATTCAGTGAATATATTCAGGTGAACAGTAAATTTGATCAACTACTTGCTTACTTACGCCTGTTACCCCCCAATGGAGCACAGGCCGCCCACCAGTTTTCTCCAACCAACTCTGTCCTGGGTTTCTCTTTCCAGTTCTGTCCAATTTTTGTTCACTCATCTAATATCTTTCTCTATTTCTCGGCGTAATGTGTTCCTTGGCCTTCCTCTTTTCCTTTTACATTGAGGGTTCCAAGTGAGGGCTTGTCTTGTGACGCAGTTAGGTGCTTTTCGTAGCGTGTGTGTCCTATCCACTTCCACCGATTCTTCCTCCTCCACTGGAATCTGGTTTGTTCTCTCCCACACTAATAAATTTTATTAACGTGAACATTCTGAAACAGGAATTTATCCATGATTGTTCTATTCACAATAACAACAGATCAGATAATCTTATTATCAAAAATAATGACAGACCCCATTTTTTAACTGAGCTCATTTGTCTACTGTTCAATCCTGAAGGAACTACCTTTTGAAAATCGTAAGGGAATCGGTAATATAAAGCGATAACAGGTAAATGAAGTCTCAGATTTAATTAAAGATAATAAAATTGTTGAAAAGGTAATAACTTCAATAAAGATGACTGTTTAACGTGTTTGTGCATAAACTTGTCATTTCAATATTCATAATGATTTATGAATCATCTATTATTAATTGTTGTATCTTGTTTCGTGATTTTACAAACTGACCAAACTGACCAGATCATTCTGCTTGAACTTTATCTGTTTTCATGATAAATGCATAAATAGTAATTTCTGCACACAAATATACTCAGTAATTATTGATTGAATAAAAGAATGTTTGTTTCTCACAGGTGAAGAATAGTTGCCAGCTGAATTACTTTTGTTACTGTAATAAAATGCTTCAGAACTAATTAGAGAAGCTAGTCATGACAATCATACGTTAAAAAGATAAATAAAGTAACCAGAAAATTTTTTTGTCTGGAAATATACCAAGATCAAA